TCTTCTTTAATTTTCGAACGCTTTATTGTAAAACACCACTACAAAAATCACATTTTATTATACTTTGCCTTGTGAGAACTTCAGGCAATCTATCTATTTACCCAAGATAAATAGGAAGCATATCGAATAATCATTTGTATTACATACTATGCCAAGGTATTCTATTATAATGACAAGCACTACTGTTTCATCTAAACAATGTGAAAATGTTGATAGTGACGAGAGGTTTACTTACTAAATAAGTAAAAAACTAACATTAAATACAAATCAAACAATATATTATATCGGCTATATATATATATATATATATTTATTTATTTAAATATATATATATATATATATATATATATATATATATATATATATATATATATATATATATATATATATATATATATATTTAAATATATATATATATATATATATATATATATACATATACATATATATATATATAAATATATATCTATATACATATATATATATATATATATATATATATATATATATATATATATATATATATATATATATATATATATATATATATATCGCTGGTAGGTCTGTAGCCTGCTTATATAGGATCTATATTGAATGGTAATTGGGCCTATATTGAGTAAGCTTTACCAGTCCCATAGTTCGACATTCTATAAAAAGTCTAGAATGTATTAAATCCAATTTATTTAGTTTTTTCGACGGCCCATTTCAGGCATTCCCATACATTATTTATAACGCCGTGATTCGCACTTTGCAAGCGTTTACATGAGGAATATTTTTTATTCAAGGGCATGACATGGGAGATAACCACGAAAATCTGCGCAGTCTAATACAAAACAAAACGGAAGTTGCTGAACGATGCAAAGGCAGGCTTAGTGATATTTGAAGTCTGAGTGGTTAAAATTTCGATGTTTTGTGTGTGTGTGTGTGTGTGTCTAAAGTAGGATCTACCATCTTTCTTTGTTTGTTTTTTACTAAACAAAAAGACGGGAAATGTAGCCTAAATTTATATATTGGCATATTTAGATATATGATATAGAATATAAAATGTAGCTATTGTTTCATCGATTTTATAATTTTAAGAAATAGGCCTTTTAATTTAAAATAACTTTTATTCGTTTCATGTTGTATTTTTTTAGCCAGTAATGAGTAATTCATGCAGTAATTCATGCCGTTGATTAGCTAATAAATTGTTCAAAGGTGAGATAGAAGAATTAAAATGAGAATCATTTGTATTCGTAGGTATTGATACCTCACTACACACCCTCCTCTCCTGTGGGCTATGTTAAGGTCCCCTTAAAGTTTTTGCGCCTTTTAAAAACGGAATGTAATATGGGATTATGCAAAAGACATAATGACATTGCTTTCTAAAACTGAGGTTTTTTGTTGGTTTTTTTTTTACATTAACATTCAAACAAAGCATGCACGTTATATTTAAAAATCATTAGATTTTTGGGGCGCGGGCTCATCCACACTACCAGCCCAGGCGACCTTGTGCGAGCTGCGTGAAAGTCTTTCATGAGCCACCGAACCGATACACTACAGCAGAGTCGCCATTTATGGCCCCAGTAATCATTGAATGTCGTTAGCCAACGTCCCTATTGTATGATGCATTTAAAAAGAATGTAGGCGCCATATTGCTCACGGGGGGAGTCCGGGGTGCTGCTGGTAACTCGACAACCGAGGCGCCGTATTCGATTCAGTTAACGATTATAGTAGTCCATAGTGTATTGCACTATTTAAAACGAACGTAGGCGGTAGAAGCCAAATCACACCCTGCCTTGGCACCGCACCTTCAAAAAAAACTTTTTTTTCGCAGAAACCTCCACAGGAGCAGCAACTTCCCAGAGTTTCATGGCGATTGAATGAACGATGTGGTAATAATATACGCAAAAATACTTTGTGGAGAGAAATTAAGAGGTATATAAAACGCCATTTATCAGTTGATCATAAGATCCGGACTGCCATACATCCTAGAGAACTGGATTGATAAAGAAAGCCCATGCTTTAAATCAAGATCCATTCAGTTTCTTTCAGGTATCTCTCCGAGGAGGGTGGGGGGAGAGACATCCATCTCATCCGAACTAGAAACAAAATATATTGAAGAAACATATACTAGAAGTTTGAAGTGACCTTCCCTCTACCCGTAGGAAATAGTCTGAAAGAAACCCTGGATCCATTTTGATTCTACTCCATGGAAATCTGCACTATGCTCACAACTCAATGGAAATAGAAAAAAAAATAACACTAACTTACAAGATGGTCACATAAGTAACCCGCACAAGAAAATGTAGATTTTATCTAGTTTCACAATGCCATCATTCCCCCCCCCCCCCCAATTCGGAATGCTTGATAAGGAATGTAGCCATTAGCTAAGATAAAAATTCATTTGCGGATGCAGAGGCGTAGCAACCCCTCCCGGCGCCCGGGGCGAACTTTCAGTTTGGCGCCCCCATATATATATATATATATATATATATATATATATATATATATATATATATATATATATATATATATATATATATATATGCGTGTGTGTTTGTGTGTGCGATAGTCTGGAAAAAAAATTAACAATTACGCTGATTGTCGTTCACTAAAACTTCACTGGACGCCAATTTAATTCCCCCTTAAGTTAAGATGCCGAAACGAATAAATAGTAGAAAATCAAAAGAGCTTAGAACAGTGGGCTCCATCGAACCCGAGAGGTTCGGTAAATCAGTCTCAGGGCTTCCGCGGAGGTCAAGACATACACCCGACTCATATGATTCACGATCGGATTTTGTCATTGTGAACAATACAACTATTAAGGAGGGTTCGGTGGTTGCGCATATGAAACTGGTGGGGTACTCCAAAAAGTTAAGAACCACTGCTTTAGGGTGTATTTTGTAGAAGGTGCAAGCCTTATTTGGTCTATTTTTGCTCGTGTCTTTAGAACAATTTCGATAACAGTAGGCCAATATTGCAATTTTGAATTATCAGTTAGGTTGAAAAAAGTAATAATTAGTACAATATACTAATTTTCTTCTCTCTTAAAATTTTGGTAAAGAGTGTCGCTTCCCATCCACCCGCTCCGACAGTCTATTTTACTGATCGGATAGCGATACAAGAATCCGTTATATTTATTTCTCTTTAATGCAGTGATCCAGGTAAGATGTAATGCAATCAAGTAAAACTATCTGATCTATCACGATCAATATGAGAGAATCGTAAGAATCGTACAAAGAAGTAGTCGCGTTATTACTTAGCAAAACTGGGTAGTGAAATCGTACATTAAGTGTTAATACATTAAGTGTTAAAAGAGTTATCTAGTAACCGATCCAGTACAAATCCTGCGATTTTTGTTAGTAAAAAAGAGCCCCACCATCTTGGACAAAAATAATAGAGCGGATTTAAAACGTCTCTAACTCTTTTTTATGTTACACAATCGTAAAATATGCTTTAGTTCAATGGGTATCTTTTCTGAGTGATATCGGTTATTTATTCCTTAATCCGGTGTGAATTTTTCCGATTTTAGTCTTCGAAAAAGCGCCCCCCATCTAGGAAAGCTGGAAAGCGGTTTTTTCCGGTCACTGTCTCTTAAAGATATAGTTTTACACAATCAAGGTAGAAAACAGTTAAATCAGAATACAAAGGCTCTCAACCGTTAAATGTCTTTACTTTGACTGTTTATAACTCAAAACTGCAGCTTGAAATGAGTTTTTAATTTTTTTTTCTACCCCTTTTGGCGCCCCCCCTAGGGTCGGCGCCCGGGGCGGCCGCCCTCCCCGCCCTCCCCTAGCTACGCCTCTGTGCGGATGCTGTTAAAAAATAAAGAAACCATGAACCAATTCAGAAGTAAATTATTTTTGATAAATTTGCAACTGTGTTCCTGCTGGTGCGAGTTTAGCGGCAGACTTATTAGCAACGCTACATTTGCGAATTTTTAAGTGCTCGCTGATGTGGAAATTTCTAAATCTATCTGTGCAATTTCTTTAAAAATATGCACAAATGGGCGTCCAAAAATGTTTTTCTACTTTTACTTTACCCTCAGTTTTGGTTTGTGATTGAAGAAAAAAATTAAGTAACTGTACCTATTTTATTGTGATAAGGGAAAGTGCGACCGTGAGGGGGTTAGTAATTGAAGAAGCAAGTATATTTATAAATGATCCCTTAAAGCAGGGGTCGGCAACCTTTTGAAGCGGAAAAGCCAAAAGTCACAATTTTCAAAATGTCACTGGTTTTAAAGAGCCACTAACATTTTTTAAATTTCAAATATTTAATTTTTTTATTAAGATTATAGTATTTGTGCAAGAAGTTGAAGGAGCCGCATCTTGATATCAAAAGAGCCGCAGGTTGCTGACCCCTGCCTTAAAGTACTAAAATATTACTTTGATGAAATAAATTTATAATTGGAAGAATTTGTTGATATTCTAGTAGACAACCATTGAAAGGGAAAGTCTTACGGATCTACAGGTGGACACAAAGGTACGTGACTAAGGGGAGCTAACTGGTGGTTACATTCATCAGATCCCTGGTTATTAATTTTCCCCGTCTCCCAAGATATCTCCGTTGACTTCAGTTCTTCGAAAACTCCGCTACAGGTCTATCTTGGGAGCTCTCCCTGGGGGTTCCCACTTACTCTTAAGCGCTTGGCGCGTCACTTTACTTACAATGCATGACGTTTATGACAAAATGTGCGCAAGTTTAAAAAATTCAACTTTAACCATTCTATATTACCAGAACATTTAAATTAAAAAACGACTGCAATCTAAACGAACAAGCTTCAATTTATATCTCATAAGCAACCTTAGATATGTAGAAATTTGTTCAGCACATTCATAACTGCGAAATAGAGATTTATAAGAAAAACAAACCAGAATAAACAAACATCTTTAAACGTGATAAAAAAAAAGATATATAGCAATTTATTTTGCAGTTTTGAGTAATGTACCAGGACAACATTTTCATACATGCAAACCAATTTTCAGCAGACAATGTTATAACAAAGATAAACAAGAAACAATATTTTGAATTTTTAATTGTAAAAAATCAGTCATCACAGAATAAAAACCTGCTGTAAAAAAAAAGACAATACAAACAGAAGAGCACATAGAAAAAAATAACCAGTAATAGAATAATCTTGTACTCAAAGACATAACAGGAACAAACACACAATGGAAACAACTGTTACACTGGTGAATAAATTATGTAAACAGTCACTGCAAGGCTGAGACATTCCCAACAGCAAATGAGTTGTAATATAGAGAATGTAGATCTTCAAAGCTTCTGGATTAGTTCCTCACACAATTTACCTGAAATTAAAAAAAAAGCTTAAAAGAAGAAAGGTATAACACAAATAGTAATTAATCTGTTAGCGCAGGGCTGCCTATCCCAGAAAGCATTGATTTTCCATAATTATTATTTAAGTTCAATGCATAGATCTAACAAATCACACAGCTGTAAGGGAGGTGTTGCAGAAGATGCATGTAAACTAGAAACACTAGACTGTAATTTTAACAAGCAAAAGTTGCCACATGAAAAAACAAAACTATTTTATGCTAGTGATGAATTTTTTACAAAAGGAAAAGTATAACAATATAAGCGTAGTCATAATATTGTAACCTGGGTGTCAAAACTAAAATTATGGACAAAATCATACTAGTAGGCAGCCCTGTCAGTGTTTCAATGGACCACCTGATATGCCCAACCAATATGAATAATGCTGAATTAATGAACACATGAAATAAATAAAAATCAAGCAAATAAAAGGAAATAAGAATTGTAATAAATTCATTTCAAAAAGCAACATTAACACCAGTTTACATGTTAATTAGTTGAATCTTCAGGTGTGTTTTTCTCCTTCACATTCAACTCTGACAAATTCAGACATGTGACCTTAAAAATGAAGGGTTTTTAATACAAAGACGGTAGAATGAATTGGGTGTGTTGTGTTAACACCATGTCAACTGTCAAACCATTCAATCAAAATAAAGGTACTTACAATGTCATCAATTTTGAGGATACTTCGAACAGTCTCTGCAGCAAGATTAATGGCACTGACTGTTACTAAGATAGGCTGAACAACACTTTCCTCTAGAATGTTGGTTATAGCACCCTTGATAATAATAAACAATTCAGTTTTAAAAAGTATACCATTACTTACTTTTTTTTTAAATAGGTATGTAATACATTTTATAAAAAATAAAAATGTTACAAAAATATTGTCATGTTACCTTCCTAACATTGATACCAGCAGTTTTTTCACCAAGGGCATGCCTTGTTCTCAATTCTGTAACAGTAGCAATAGGATTTAAGCCAGCATTTTCGGCTAAGGTAAAGGGAATCACTTCCAAAGCCTCAGCAAAAGCACGGAAGCAGTACTGCTCAATACCAGTTAATGTATTGGCATATTCCATTAATTTCAGTGATAACTCAATTTCTGGTGCACCACCTCCAGCAATAAGTGCCCTAAGAAAGAATAATAATAAAGGAATAATAATAGGGAATTAAAATGGATCATTTAACTAATTTGCAGTTCAGAAAACTGGAAAACCTCTTCAGAAATAAGATTCCTCAAATAATTCAGTACAGGTCTGTGAATTATCATCACAAGGAGTTATGTTCCAGTTCCAATATACAAACAAGTCCTTTGTAAAATTTAATTGTAAGCATGGCTAAAATATCTGCCTGCCAACTTGCCAGGTTTTTAAAGATCACTTGATATTAATTTAATTATAATGCAGGCATACTTAAATTGTAAATGTCTGTTTTTAACATGTATAATCTGTACATAATTATTAAGCCATAATCCTTAATTCAAAATATATCTATCAATAAAAAATAAATGCATCTTCATTTATTAGTGACCAAGATTCCTTAAATATAATCAATACATGTATTCCTACCTTTTTTTCACCAAACATCTGATGACACACAGAGCATCATGCAATGATCTATCAGCCTCTTCTAAAACCAGTTTGTTAGAGCCTCTGATTAATACTGTCACGGTTTGTCCTGGATTAGCAATTCCAGTAACCTGGCAACAAATTAGAAAAGCAAATATTTTTAAAGTTAGGTTAACTTATTTATAATAGCAATTTTTAAATTTTGCTTGAAAACTAATTCTCCATCAGTGTTGTTAAATCTTCATAGAGAAATACAGTACAGGTCTGTGTAATTTCATCATTGGAGAAAAAGTTTTATTAAAATAAAAATGCCTACCTTGACAATTTTACTTGTTCCAGTTTGAACTTCCTCAACAAGCTCAGCAGTACCCAGATATTCAGGTAAAAAGTGGTCTACGCTAGCTATTGGTCGACAACCCAATGTCTGAAAGTAATTACAAAAATAAGTTAAAAGAAAAATAATTTTAAAAATTACAATAGTTTTGCTTTTGTTAAGATAATTATAGTTACCTTGCAAACAAACTCTACATCCTCTCTCTCAACATCTTTGACAACCAAAATTTTCATCTTTGCAAGGAAGTGGAGTGCAAGATCTGATACAGCATCTCTGTAATTTTAAAATAAACTTTTAAAAAGAAAAAAATAATCTTATCTTAAGAGTTAAGAAAACAAACTGTCCATCAGAAAGTATTTCCTCACTAGTATGTCAGAACAGGTCTGTGAAGTTTTTCATCACATGGAAGTTAAAAAAAAAAAATGACAAAGAAAGATAAAAACTTACCTTAAAATTGATTTCTGTATTAATAGAACATTACATCCAGACTTTTTAATTTTTTTAACAATCTCAAGGATATAAGCTCTTTCTTCTCTGAGCACACGATCCATCTGAGTATAATCTGAGACAATGACCTGGTTGTCCATCTGTTGACAAAGGCATAAAACCAGGTTGAAAAACTAACACCGAATAACAACCTTTTACAAAAAAATGTAATTACTACATATTCTGAAACTTACATCAGTCTTTGGCGGAGAAATACAAAATTGAATCAAGCCCACTTTGGCTTTTTCCACCTTGTTGGGACCACCAGCTCCAGAAATTTTGCTTGTAAAGACAAGGCCATCAATGAGCTCAGTATCCTCAACAGTTCCACTGAAAAGCAAATTTTTAATACTTTTTTATGAAAATGCTTGAAAAAATACTGCAATAGAGCTTGGGTGCCTAACCTAAGAGTCATCAACCCAAAGGAAAAAAATGCTCATTACAAAATATTATTTTTAATTGTTTTTATGTTAATCTTTTAAATTTTTTTTGCCAGGGTCACAGGTCACTGGCTTTTATAAAATGGTGAAGCTACTGAAAAAGGTTGGAAATAATACAAACCCTAATTTTTTGACAATTTTGATATCTTTAAGATCTACATTTTTGGCAGTAGCTGGATCAATTACTTTCATAACGGCATCAACAGCAATTGGAGATAAAATTGATGAATACTGAGAAACTACCTAGTGAAATAAAATGAAATATGCAATGAAGTTTCAGTTAACCATCAAATTGCATAAATCCCTATTCTAAAACATCTCCAATCAGTATATGTATGTTCCGCAAAACAAATTTGGTACAGGTCTGTGAAATTTCATCATTTGGAGAGTGCACTGTATGTTATTATGGGTCTTCAGCCAATTCAATAAGAAATAACATAAATACTGGTTAATTTTCAATAAGATTAATACCACAAAAGTCACTACTATACAAAATATAATAACTTAAATTCAATAGTAAGTTAGTTCAAATGTCAGCATTCAGGATAAATTGGCATCAGGATTCAGCCCCGAAAGATGGTACATCATTATGCTGTTCATTTAGTTTTATAATTTGATAGTCGTATGTTTTTTAAATTGCAGTTTGCATTTAAGGCAAGGTGTATAAAAGGTACACTCGATACCATGCTACTTTATTATTTTTGACATAGATGCAGTAAAATTCTAACTTCAGCATTGACATTTTATAACTAGTTGATTTTATTATTTTAAGGAGGAAAGCATTAATTCAACATAATGTATTACAGCTGTAGTAATGAGACACTCTTTACCTGCTTACAGGATCTACAATTGTAATGTTACACCATAAAATTGACTGGTGCAAACTAATTTCTTTTAGTATAAAGTTACTATTACTAAGGCAAAGTTATATTTTAACCATATAGAATTAAAATAAAATTACTTAAAAATTATAAATGTCTTATCAGCATTCAGGATAATTTGGCATCATAAATTCAGCCCCGAAAGATGGAACATCATAATGCTGTTAAGGCAAGCTTTACTTTATAAAGGACTACTTAAGCTACATCTAAATTTTCTCCTAACTGCAATTTCATTAACTTTATACAGCCTGTAATTTAACATAACTGTGGTAGCCTCATTCATGTGAATTATTAATAAACTCAAAGCGCATTTTTCAGGATAATATTGCAGGAATTAGTCCTGATTCAATAATACAACACTATAACAATGAACCGAAGCTTCAATATACAATTCTTCTTATTCTAAATTAACAGATGTCTTATTCAATACAAATAAATTGTATATATATATAAATATATATATAAATTAAATGGACTTGTATCCGTGAATCTTATTTATAACATGAACAGCATTCAGGATAAATTGGCATCATAAATTCAGCCCCGATAGATGGTACATCATAATGCTGTGTGCAGTATGTGCATATTAATTGCATGCAATAATTTTCTACTATAAAGAGCTGGGTTAAGAAAATTAAAACAATTTTTTTTCTAATTCCTAGAATCAAATAACATGACCACTAAAGCATGTAAATGAGCTGTAGACTACAGAACCCCCCCCCACAGAAATGTCAAAATGAACCACTTGTCTTGTAACGACACCTTCTAGTAACAGGGTTCGTACTGCTTTTTGAAAATGAAATTCCAGACTTTTTCCAGACATTTTCCAGACTTTTTTGGAAAAATTCCAGACTTTATATAGATAATGTGTTCGCGAATAATTTTTTTAAATGATGCACTATTTGTACTGTCATTATAATTACTTATACTAAATTGACATTTATTTTAGGCAATTGAGCTATATTCATAGTGAACTTTCTCTAGCCAAATTGACAAAAAAACATTTTTTCTAAGTTTGCCTACTCCACCCTACCTAAAATTTTAACAATTAAAATAATTGATTAAAATGATGCAACTATTTTGTTTCCAACATTAGACTTATTTAATCTGTTCCTGATCTAATTGCTTATGTTTTCAATTAAACTATCATTAAAATAGTATTGCATAATAGTGAGAGTTAGATACTTTAAAGAATAATAATGTAATGCATTAACTTAGGTCTGCTCTTGTTAAGTAGCCTAAATAAATATAGGCTACTTGTAAAAAAAATGTGGAGCAAAAAAAAAATTTTTTTAAAAATCATTCACTGTTTGTGCTTATAGTAATAGCTGAGAAATGGGTCTGCAATAAAAAAAATTACCGGTATCCTTCTTCCCCCCCCCCCCCACAGGTATCCAGCTCCCCCCCCCTTCCCCCCACAGACACGACACGGTGAAGGGGTCACTGTGAGGTCATAGTAGTCTAGACTACAGTATGCCTGTTAATACATCATAACATGAACTGTGCTGTGACTTATACCCCCTCCCCCCACCCTACTTACCAAGCAGTACCAACTACGCACTTGGGGTCACGGTGAGTTCACACAAGTGACCGATGTTACAAGGAGGGGTGGGGTAGTCTAACTTTAATCGTCAGCATTTGCAAAGATTTCATAAACAGTTTAATGGAAGGTGAATTAAAATTAAAGGGGTCATCCATTTATGACGTACACATGGAGGGGGGAAGGGGTCGGAAGATTTTGTGATTACATTCTAAAACAAACATAAAACTTGTATCTTGCGAGTAGAAAGTAAAATTAAGACGACTGTGCTGGTGTTTTAAAAACCATCACAGCGTGTAAATAAAACACGGTATTTATATCTGCCCTAACATTATTGCAAGAGCGTGTCATCACACTTTATAAAACCCTCCACCCGACTTTCCGGAGTGTGACGTCATTTATGGACGACTCCTAAATAAAAATAGTACCTCTTTGGTAAGCGACCGCTGAAGCAAACAGAAATACAGGTATGAACCCAAGGAGGCCTTGCGACTTATTAATCTTATAAATGTTAATATTAATCCAAAGTAAGTGAACGCGTGTGGACAGAGAGCGGGGGAGTGGGGAAGGGGGGGGGGGTCTAAAATCCGAAAAATTGTTGTAAGTCATAAATGGATGACAAATTATATCTAAACTACCACTCACACATCTCTCCCATAACTTTTTGTTATGACTGCCTGCTTGCAAACTCAAACGATGAAAAAATAGCGGGTAAAATCGAGAGCCTAACAATTCTGAGGGCGATCATTCTTTTATTAAACGACAATTGTAAGTACTTGTAACACATTCACACGGTCAGTCGTGCCACACAATATCTCTTCCCTCCCTTCCCCTCTTCTCCCAATGACGTAGTAACTGAGCATTTTTTTCTGCGAACCAGCGAAAAACGTCACAACAGTGTCCCGCGCGATAGCGCGGGGAAAAAAAATGGAGTAAATTTACTTAAAAATAGCAATTTTTTAAGTTGGAAAATATGGACTACCATGTTTTGTTTCTAAAACTAGATTCCAGACTTTTTCCAGACTTTTAAAAAATCCTGCCCAAAAACTAGCGATTTTCCAGACTTTTTTAAGTCTTAAATTAACTTTTTGAAATTCAAGACTTTTTCCAGACTTTCCAGACTGCGTACGAACCCTGTAGTAACTATAATACAGCAATGAGTTATTGTACCTGCAGGTAGGTAGCTACCAATCAGGAAAAATTAAATTTAAAAATGGAGATGTTAGTGTTAATTTTTTTTAAATGGCTAATAAGATAAAAAGTATTTTAAAACAGCCAGCGTTCAGTTAAGTTTGGCATCACAATACTCAGCCCCGAAAGATGATACATCATTACGCTGAATCCAATTAATACATATATTTAAAAGGTAGCTATTGCAACAAGGTTAGCAACCAAACTAGGAATATTTTTTTTTAAATGTGTGATAATTGCCTAATGACGTATATCGATATTTTATTAAAATAAATATTCTACAAAATGAAGTCTTACTTTTGAATTCAAAGAAGTGGAAGCACTTTTTAATAATGATTCTCTATCTCCAAGATCCAAAGGAGTTACCATTGTTTCCAGTATTTCTGAAGATTTTGCAGCAGCTCGTTGAAAAGCTTCTGATATCACAGTAGGATGTATACCTTAAAAAAATTCATAAACCTTCAAAACTCAGGCTAGTCTTATGAAAAAGAACTGGTTGAACATGGTCAGCTTAATGTTTAATTTAGCAATGGGATTTAGTGTCATGCTGCTATTTCAAAATTAATAGAACAATATTACAGACCTCTTTGCAAAAGATTAGAGCTAGCATCTAAGAAACTTCCAGCTAAGACAACTACTGATGTGGTACCATCTCCAGCTTCAACATCTTGTGCTTTAGAAAGTTCTACAAGCTTAGCATTAACAGAAAAAGAAAAAAAAAGTTAGGAAATTGAACAGCTAAGAAATAAGCATTTAAATGTAGTGATAAGATGTTGGCACCCACAAATCCCGTACTGCTATATCTTACCACCTTGGTAAAATTTTAACAGGCTAGGTGAAGCAATGCTCTTTTATGTATGACAGTTTTAAAACTAAGTATGCTTTCTTTAGACACACTAGCGGAATAACTGCCAAAAAATTGGAATGTTTAGAAATTATGAAATATTTACCATTTTAGCAGCTGGATGCAACACCTGCATTTGTTTCAATATAGTTGCTCCATCATTAGTAATTGTAACATCCCCATTGGATGATTGAATCTAAAAAATGAAAAATTTGTCACAAAATTGCCATTGATCAAGATATTTGCAATAGTGCTTGGTTAAGAGAAAAAGTAAAACTAATACAAATTATATAGGAATACTATCAACACAGTTACGGAAGTTGACAGACTAGTATTTATTTCATTTTTTTAAAAGTACAAAATATGATTTGGCGCACCATTTTATCCATGCCACGTGGGCCCAAACTTGTTCGTATAGCATCTGCAACAGCTGTAAATTGAAAGAGAAAGTATGTTAAAAAACGAAATGCAAGAACCAAACATTTAGAATCTGGCAACTGAAAAATTTAGTCACAACTGTCATTCTTAACTTTTAATAAATTAATTCTTCAGTAATTAATTTTCTTCAGTGCAAACAGCTTATATGATTAAGAAACGAGATGTTAAAAGACTACAAAATAGGAATTATGTTCAACATATGGCATTTAGTCCTGTAGTGGACTAATTATCTTTGAGACAATCTTCAAACCAAATTAATAAAAAGATTGAAGTTTAAAGGATTGGGCATATATCAAAATATGTGTAAAAATTGTCTTCACTGATTCCCTTTCAACCCAGTATGTCTCTAAGGAAGAAAATATCACCAAGAAGTCTCAGTGTGACATAATGAGCAGTAATGGTCAGAGATGTTTTATTAAAGTTATTTTAGTCCCGCTAAATGGTAGATAGTCTGCTAAATTACCATCAACTGGAGAAAGACTGCATTTGAACTAAAAAAAATACCAATATGACTTTTTACTACATACAGAAGTAGTTGTGCCCATGAAGGTTTGCAAAGAAGTGGATATTGTTACCTTTTTGTACCATCTACACATGCACAAATAGCGTAATACTAATGGGCCATAATTGCTGAAAATGCTTTGAGGTATTAAAGTTTTCTGGAATGCCAAAATTCAAGTTTTAGGCCTAACAGCTACGATATTTAAAAACTGCAAATCTGGAAAAAATTAGATTCTCGAATATGGAGTTCCGGGGATATCCTGGAGAAGAGGTACCCCTTTAAAAGTGTTATGTGCTAAATCGCCAGTTGTTTCAGACTTCAGCATTTGATTATTTCTGGATTAATTGAGTATTAGGTAGGTCTAAAGATGTCTGACAATGGATCATCAGATATCTGCTCCCCTACATTTCTACAATAGTAAGTTGAGTTAACATGTACAGTACATCTAATCATCTTATGTCTGACTTGCATTTCACAGAATCCCTGAATCTTTTAATTTTATTTTATGCATTTGTTTTTAAAAGCCTTTATTGTCCTTTAAACTTCAATCTTTACGATTCTTTAGCAACCCAAGAACAGCCAACAATGCCTCAGTTGTTTGATTTTAGAGTTTTCTTTCCAAAATGGGTCCATGGCTAAAAGCCTCACCAGCTCGGGGAGGGGGGCAACCTAAGGAAATATGACTGCTCAAAATGGAAATGCCCAAAGCAGGTAGAATACGTCATAAGCAAACAAATCTAACTGAAACTACTACTAAACTAAGCTTTCGTGAAAGAAAGTAAACCTAGGCGTGGATATAGATCTCAAAAATATATAATAGTTTAATAATCTGTACTAGGCGTAGAAATAAAAAACATAATAACTTGGACCAAGGTCCGATATATTTTAAATGAAATAACCTTTTCCAGCAGTTATGTTGCTGAATCGAATTTGACTTGGTTTGTCTTTATCTTTATACTCAGATCGACTAACATTGTCACCGCCTCCTCCAAAAAAGCCACCTTGAGACATTATGATGGTTGTTTTTCTGGATGTCGACGGATTGAAAAAGTCACGGTTTATCGCCAGAGACGCTTCCAGAAAAATTCAATATGGCTGCCTCCATATGAAATGCGGAAGTTAAAATGAGGAAGACACCGGGATTTAGTGGAATAATTATTATTTTTTTTTTTATCTAGATCTCTACTTAAATAAACCGGGAGTGATCTCCCCTAAACTTTCTCGAATATTCTTATATAAAAAAAACAACAGGGGATGGGAACTCGGGCTATAGACATGATTTTTAATCCATTTTAAATACTTAAAGTTTTAAAAATAGAATAAAATCTCGTAGACAAAAGAATTGCACACCTAGTGAACGCCAAATAAAAAAGTGCATAACAGTGCGCAATATTATTAGTACTTTAAAAATTTACATTAATTTTTTGAGAAATCGGAAGTAGCGTAAATTACTACTTCCGTTCAACGGAAATTACTCAAAATTTAACAGAAGGTAGAGAATTAGATCTTTTACTTACATGTGAAATTTCATGTATCTATCTGAAAAAGTTAAAGGCTTTTGAAAAATTCAAAGTAGAAAAAGTACCACTTCCGGTTATCGGAAATCGCTCAAAAGTTGATACGAATCTACGATTTTGATAAAATACTTATATATGAAATTTCATCAATCTAGCTGTAACGGTACTCAAGTTATCGTGTTTACACACGGACAGACACACACACACACACAGACATACGGACAGAATTGCAAAGCCCAGTTTTCCAGACTGGATTTATCATAAAACCTCTTAATTTTGATAAATCTGGATTGATAATTTTTGCCCGATTAAAATAAGTCCTCTATACTTCGGATGTGATGAAGGACTGAGGTGTAATACGGTGAAAATTGTTAAAATTTCAAGTAATTTTTGTGCACGATTACAATACTTTCTCTATACTACGTATATACGAGAAAGTAAAAATGTTTAAAACCATTCTGTTGTTTTGAATAAATAGGCCTATTTGATGCAAAATGTTTTATTCGCTAGGCTAAATTTTGATAGGTAATCTAACCCGAAAAGTAAGACCTACATCAATAAGAGGGTTGAAATGAAACTTTAATAATGAAACAACTTGACTTGCACTATGCAGACGACCTTACACTCCTCTCCAACAACCAACAGCTGATTCGGGAGAATAAAAATATGCTAGGTGACAAGTTAGCGCAGCTTGTACTCAACATGCAGTGCCGGCGCCAGGTTATTTAGCGCCCTAGGCAAAACTTATTAAAAGCCTCCCCCCCCCCGTGCCCCCGTATTATCAGAAGCGTAGCGACCCTTCCCGGCGCCCGGGGACAAACTTTCGATTTGCACCCCCCCCCCTCAAACTTTCGATTTGCACCCCCCTCAAACTTTCGATTTCCACCCCCCTCAAACTTTCAATTTGTTTTTCAACCCATTTTGGCGCCCCCCCCCCCTTTCGGACATACACAAGGAAAAATAAAATTTAAATAGATGCGACTGTTATGTGGTCAGCGTCTAATTTTTCGTAAATTAAGATGCCTATCTTGTCGGCGATTGTACCTCACAGTTGGCTAAAGATTGCCCTATCTTGAGGTAGCGTTTGAACTAAACTGTTGGTTAAGGAATGCGTCTATCTTGTGGTCGACGTGTGCATTGAACTGTTGGTCTGACTTATTTTTCCATATTTTTATATGCTTTCGGATGTGGGATATAAGTGATGAGTTTCACCAGCAAACAGAGTTTCTTCCAGTCATCTCTTCGGGGGCTCCGCCCCCCCCCCCCCCAACGAAATGTAATTTATATAGAAAATATATACTTTTAACAGTGTCCGCCCCCCCTCCCTCGGAAATTTTAGTCCGCCCCCCCCCCTCGAAAATTTCAAGTGTCCCCCCCCCCCCTCCCGGAGAAAAAAAAGTCTGAAAGAAACTCTGCCAGCAAAGTCCAAGTCGTCGAGACTGCTCAGACAAATCCAGAAAAAGGCAAGACAGAAAAGGAACGAAAACAGACAAACGAGCTCATACCTGCCCCATACTCATTTTGAGCGCTAGAGTCGTTAGTAAACAATTTAGAAAAGGGGTCGTCCATAACTTACGTCACACTCGAAGGGGGAGGAGGGCTCCGTAATTTTGTGACGGTGTGTGATGAGGGGGGGGGGGGGGTCAGCATTTGTGACGTCACACTTTTGCATTATACATAAACAATGTTCGAAAACGTATTCGCTTTTTAGAAAACTGTTTTAATAAATTTTAATAGAAATTGATTAAAATACTCTATGTTGACAGAGTTCAGACAAGATGTTGGAAAAAATATCGATGTTTTAAGAAAAATTGAACTGCAATTTTGAGAGGGATTGTAGGCCGAGGCGTCTGTCTTTTGTGACGATGTATGACGGAGGGAGGGGCGAGGTAAAAATCGACCCAAAAAAGCGTGACATCATTTATGGATGACCCCATATACGGTATAATAACGTGACAGGAACATGAGAAGGTTGGCTTTAAAAAAAATTATATTGAGTTTTTAAAACATCCATTAGCTAAGCTATCACCCATTTTTAAATCGATAACATTGATGTACAATGTTCGCTAAAATGGGATACAAGGAAGATGTGTCTGTCATAGTTTAACAGTTCAAGTATGTTATCAGAAAAATTGGTGTCAGGTTGATAATAATAAGTCTTTTTCCTAATTCTAACTCATCACTCATCATAGTCTTTTCCCAATCGTGCACAAAACACATAGGACAAATGAAGAAGATTCAGCAACCATTACCAGTGTGGATTAGGTACCCATCAGAGCTGAGTGGATTGATTTTGGATTCATGGTCGTCTTAAAAATCAAGCCCGGGATCCTAACTCGATCGAGACTTTCGTGCTCTACCTTCCGCCATCGCCGTCCCCGACTCATTATTGTTTGTCCGATTAAGATGTTTTCAGTCTCAATGCTTTGCAGAAAGTTTGTTTCAAAGACATAGAATACATCTTCTGACCAAAAAAAGACATTTTGCACGTGCAAAAAACCAGACTACTGTTATTGTTATGCACTCTGCTTTTTAGCTATCGGCCTTATTGTTTTGGCCGTTCGATGATTAAATGTCTTTTTAAGCAGCTTCCCCCATTCCTTTGATGATGTCTTCCCATCTTTTCCCCTGTCTTTTTTTTTGTTTGGCCATATATTTAAAGCTTTTCAAAATGTGTAGCTTATTTAAGTTATTTTATACCATCATTAAAATAAAATTGTATTAACACTGTGTGAATCATATTGAAAGTCATATTGAAAGCGAAATTGCATCAAAACAGTTAAGGGGTCATCCATAAATGACGTCACGCTTTTTTGGGACGATTTACCTCCCCCCTCCCCTCCGTCACACGTCGTCAAAAAAAGACTGATCCCCCTAAAATGACGTCACACCTCAGCCTACAACCCCCCTCACAATTGCTGTTGAATTTTTCTTAAAACATCGATATTTTGCCAAAATCTTGTCGGAACTGTCAACATAGTGTATTTTGATCAATTCTTATTACAATTTATTAAAACCGTTTTATAAAACGCGAAATAACGGCTAAAACTCGTTTTTTAACATTGCTTTTTTATAATGCAAAAAAAAGTGACGTCACACTATCTGAACCCCCCCCCCCTCCCCCTCATCATACACCGTCACAAAATTATGGACCCCCTCCCCCTACGAGTGTAACGTCATTTATGGACGACCCCTAACAATATGCAGTACATTAAAAAAATAAAAACGCTCGGGCATATTCTATATGTCTATACACCGAAAGGCTGCACTTTGCGCCTTTTTGTGCACTCGTCGCCCCCCCCCCCCCTACCCCTAAAATCTGACACACCGGCTAGACATGAATTCAGTTTATGAAAATGACACAGGACTATTGAAATATGGCTGGTTGGTGACCAGCTAAAGGTGAGGGGAAATCATAACGTGATGACAGGTTTTTACCCAAATAAAATACGATAGTGCAAAACATCTGTCCCTAGGGTTGAATCACTTGACATTGTATAATTTAAAATCATCAACATTAGAGCACTAGTATTAAATATAATAATGTTGGTACATCAGAACAGTAGACCATTTTCTTAACAGATGACGAAAACATAGTTTTATCTTTGAAATGTGAACAGTTAATCATAATTTATATCAACTTTTTACTTTCTCTAATACGGAACAAGTATTTAAATAGTTTATAAACACAGAAGTCGAGGTTTTAAAACATCTAGAAGTCGGAAAAACGAAATTAGTTTTGCAATCTTGTCTGCCTGTCTTTCTGCGTATGTAATAACACTATAAATTGAGTAACGTTTCAGTTATGTTGACAACATTTTATATATGCTATTTCTATTATATTTAATTTTGTGTTTTCTGTAAACTCTTGAACGATTTCCGATACGCGGAAGTGGTACTAAATCTACTTCCTGTTTATCAAAAGCCGATAATTTGAGTACAGTTGCAGTTAGTTGGACATAATTTCACATATATGTTTGTTCAGGTTTCTTTCATCTTTTTAACGATTTCATATTTTTTACTTGTAATAGATTGAAATAATTGTGAGGTCAAGGGAACTCACTCTTCTGTATTAGTTATATTTATAATATTGTTATCTTGAGTGATGTCCCTTGTGTACTTCCCTCCGTCCTCTCTGTGTGTTACCATCGTGATGTAGTTAGACCCAATAAATGTGTTATATACAATCACAGGCTTCTGTCGTCAATCTATTATAACTGGCGACGAAGGATAAACATCTACTAGAAAGAGCACCTACTTACGCAAAAAAGAGGTTTGCTAGAGCTTATTAGCTAATTATTTCTAGAATAATGGCGCTGTATGGCCAAATAAATCAATTTGATTCGAATGATGAAATCATTCAAGATTACCTAGAGAGGTTAAGCTTTTACCTAGAAGCAAACAACGTGACGATAGAAGCCAAAAAGAGAGCTATTTTGTTAACAGTCATAGGGCCTCAACAATTTAGGCTACTAAAAGACTTATGCGCACCAGCTAGTCTAACTACCAAGAGCTTTAACGAGCTGAGCAAATTGCTAACAGACCACCATGCGCCTACCCCATCAAAGTTTTTATGTAGAGCTAGATTTGACAGTAGGACTCGTCAACCAAACGAGTCAATATCAGAATATGTTGCTGCTTTACGTCATTTAAGTGAATTTTGTGAATTCGGAGACACGCTGTCTGACAGATTATGTGAAAAGTTTGTGACAGGTGTAAACAGCCCTGATATTCAAAGAAAGTTGCTGCTCGAGTCAGATCTAAAATTGGAAAAAGCAATACAACTTGCAGCTTCATACCAGCAGTCATCAGATGCGGCGAAATCTCTTACGCCTTCAGGGATCCATGCAGTAAACAGCAGGTTAGTCAATAAACATCAACCCCAACAGAGCATTCCAACTTATGCTAAACAGCCTGCTCGTTCAAATCCTAGATCTAAATCTAGTAATAATTATCAAAAATGTCATCGATGCAAGGGTCCCCATGCATCTCATCGGTGCAAGTTCAAGTCTGCAACTTGTTATAAGTGCAGTAAGCAAGGTCACATTGCCAAGGCCTGCTTTGCAAAGTCTTCGTCTGTTGCTAAATCTAGCCAGTCAAGACAGTACCGCAACCAAAAGCAGCACTATGTTAACTCTCACCAAGACTACCTAACCCAACCAATGAACCACTCTACCTGTGAAAATGCTCAAACTGATTTGCAGCCGGATTTCAACCTGTTCTCTGTGAAATCAATAAGTCATGCTCCCATCAATGTACTAGTTAATATCAACGGTAAGAGCATCAGCTTCCAACTTGACACTGGAGCATCTCTAACAGTCATAACAAAGAAAGATTTTGACGCTGTCATAGGAGGATCAGTGCCTCTACAGCCATGTCACAAGTGTCTAACAACATACACTGGTGACAATGTTCCGGTAATAGGAGAGTGTATGGTTCATGTAAGTTATAATGGTCAAAGTGTTAAACTTCCTCTTCTTGTGGTTGAAGGAAATGGACCGCCATTACTAGGTAGGAACTGGTTAAGTAATCTTAAGTTAAATTGGGAGAGTATTTGTTCATTGAAGAATGTAAAAGAATCTAGTCTTACTTCACTAGATAAAGTTATATCTGAAAATAAATGTGTTTTTGGTAATTCGGGTTTACTAAATGATAGAACAGTGAAGTTAAGCATTAAAGATACAAATCCAAGATACTGCAAAGCTAGAGTTCCACCTTATGCAATGAGGAATAAAATTGAAAATGAGCTAAGTAGATTGGAATCTAATGGCATCATAAAGAAGGTAGACTATTCCGATTGGGCGACACCCATTGTGCCAGTGTTAAAGAAGGATGGTTCTGTAAGAATTTGTGGAGATTATAAAACTACACTGAATAAGCAAATAGAGCTAAATAGGTACACTATACCTAACATTGAGGAAATTTCTTTGAATTTGGCAGGAGGAGACAAATTCACTGAATTAGACTTTAGTCATGCTTACACTCAACTAGAACTGCATCCAGATTCAAAAGTCTATACGACAATAAACACACATAAAGGACTCTACCAATATGAAAGACTATGTTTTGGCATATCATCTAGCCCTGGAATTTTCCAAGCGGTCATGGACAGTATTTTTAAGGATATTCCAAATGTTTGTGTGTACTTTGACAATGTGTACATAACTGGTAAGAATGACACTGAACATCTTAAAACACTTTATAAAGTATTGAAAATTGTTGGTGAAAAAGGTTTAAAGATAAACAAAGATAAATGTCAATTCATGCTGACAGAAATTAGTTTTCTTGGTTATATATTGAGCAAACAAGGCATCAGACCTCAACCTGAGAAAACAAAAGCCATTAAAGAAGCACCCAAACCTGAAAATACCCAACAACTAAGAGCTTTTTTGGGCTTGATAAATTACTATGCAAAGTTCATAGGGAATCTGTCTGGTAAACTATCACCACTGTACAAGCTGCTACAGAAAAATGCAACTTGGCACTGGGGTAAACAACAAGAAGCTGCTTTTAATACAGCAAAAGAGGCTTTGTCTGCTGACACCTTACTAACTCACTATGACCCAGGGAAAAGACTTATATTAACATGTGATGCTTCACCAGATGGTGTAGGAGCAGTCTTGTCCCACATGGATGAGAAGGGTGACAGACCCATTGCTTTTGCCAGTAGATCTTTGAACCAGGCTGAGAAAAATTATTCTCAGTTAGATAGGGAAGGCTTAGGCATCATTTTTGGTGTTAAGAAATTTCATAAGTTTCTGTTTGGTAGGAAGTTCACCATCTTTACAGATCATAAACCCTTGCTAGGTTTATTTGGAGAAAACAAAACCCTACCTGAGCATGCCTCACCAAGAATTCAAAGATGGGCTATCACACTAACTGCATACAATTATGAATTGAGATACAAACCTGGATCTGAGAATAGTGCAGATAGTCTTAGTAGATTACCTTTAAAAAACCAAAGCCTGAGCTATGTACCAGAAGATGTATTTGTTCTCTTCACTATCATGGATAACTCCAATATAAATGTGAATGATATTAAAAGAGAAACACAAAAAGACGAGTGCTTAATAAAAGTATATGAGTACTGTAAGAATGGTTGGCCTGAAGAGTCTGTGAATGATGACTTAAAGCCATATAAAATAAGAAATAAAAACCTTTGTGAAGATAATATAAAAGATGGAGAAGATGCAGTCCATTATCAGTCAGAGCTACCTAAACAAAGTATTTGTAACTTAATAAATGATTATGGTGATATGGCAATTTCAAATGCTTTAAGTAAGAAGGAATGTGATCATCAAACAACTTTGCTAACATCATTAGCACTTACAGAAACTAAAAGGGTAACATCAAAAGAAAAGAGAAAAAGATTTTTGCCATTTAATACTTTCAGATGCCAATTCAAAAAGTCAATCATGACAGAACACCCATTGAAAGAGAATTTGGTATTAATGATAATGTGTATCTAAGAAATTATGGGAGAAAGGAAAAATGGATACCAGGTCAAATTGTTCAATGTACAGGACCTGTGTCTTATAAAGTTAAAAATAACTTGTGCAGATAATAAGTGTGAATCTATCAATCCCACCAAGTCTGATCAGTTCACACCAACTCAGTTTGTTCCACAACCAAGTTCTGTTGATATGAGTGAACCAAGTTGTCTGGAGTCAGAAAATGTAAATTCTGGAGTTAATGATTTAAATCCTAGACCTCCTGAGATAGAGAATCCAGATGGTCAGAATATTGAGTCACCAAATCAAAAGCCACTGAGAAGGTCAAGCAGGACAATCAAAGTCCCAAATAAGTTAGACCTATGATTTTAAAGGTCAAAAGGACTTTGACATCATTGTTTTGTATCTTGATTATGTTGTGGCATATTGTGCATTGTTTGTAAGGATGTAATCTACCATAATGTTCATGTTACAATATAATTGGTGATTTTAGGATACTATCAATTGTTCTATTGAGAGATGTGTTATTGTGTTCTAAGGGTAAAGGGATGTAATAGATTGAAATAATTGTGAGGTCAAGGGAACTCACTCTTCTGTATTAGTTATATTTATAATATTGTTATCTTGAGTGATGTCCCTTGTGTACTTCCCTCCGTCCTCTCTGTGTGTTACCATCGTGATGTAGTTAGACCCAATAAATGTGTTATATACAATCACAGGCTTCTGTCGTCAATCTATTATATTACTGTATATTTGCGGAACAAGAAAACGCGAGAGTAAGGTTGACGATATCTAATATTTAAGAACCTGTATATAAATTTTTATAAACTTTTGATACATTTCCCGTAGCAGGAAGAAATCTACGTCTTCGGAAATATTATATTACATTATAATTTTGTTATATTACTGCACAACCCCTAAACATTGTAGGGATCATTCAAAAATGATGCCATGCTTTTAAAAACTATTTTTACCTCTCCTCCGTCACACATGGTCACAGAAAGCCAGACTCCCTTAAAATAACGTCACAACTCAGCCTACCCCCCCCCCCCCCCCCGTTAAAACTGCAGTTGATACTTTTTTCTTTTAAAAAACACTGATTATTTTTCTAAAATATGGACTGAGCTCGGTTAAAAAAAGCGAAATAACAACTAAAATTCTGTTACAAACATTACTTTCTAAAAATGCAAAAGTGTTACGTCACACTATCTGAACCCTCCTCCCCCTCATCATATATCGTCACAAAATCCCCCCCCCCCTTACAAATAAGACGACATTTATGGAGGACCCATTAGAAGTTCTTGAAGAAGTTGAATTTCCTTTTGTTTCTGTGATGCAAATGTGTCGATTCTGTAATCTATGAAATGCTATGTCTATTTTTTGTCAAAAAATATTATAAAATTATTATTATTTGGTTTTTTAAAATGTCATTGCTTGATCCCTAAAAATAGAAAGCAACATTAAAAAGTATAACTTTGACGTAAAATGGCGCGGTATCTAGACTCTGCGAACCACAGATTAGTATATAGAAGATAGCAAGGCTACTACAACAAGATCAAGGCTCTCTATAATAATATTCACTAGCTTTGCGTAGTCATCAATAATCAAGTATTATATTTAAAGTAAATTCAATCAAAATGCTTCAAAGACACTTACATTTTAGATCTTTTTCGGGAACATCTTCAGGTAATTTAAAAAAAAAAATTGCCTGTTCTGTTGAACTTGTTTGTTTACTAATGTTTACAATCAATTAATAATTATTAGGCAATATTAGGGCCTAAAACTTAATTTTAATAATTTAATTAAATTTAATAAATGATTAACTTTAAATTGCATTAATGACTGATAATGTGTTTATCATATTTTTATTAATGTTCTCATTCATTTTCTAATTGGTCATAGAGTAGAGTGTAGAGGACAGACGATATTTCTTTTATTTTGAGTTGTCGACCCTCTACTAATAAAAAAATTAAAAATATTAGGCTGTTAAAACTTAAAACAATCTCAGTGCTGCTTAAGGAATTATTCTCTTTGTTTAGCCAGTTGAGTGCTAGTCTAGAATTGCCAACTTGACATTGCAAATCATGCAGTTAGTTAGGACGATGACTCTCGGTCTCACCAAGTTCCATATTAATTAATAATTATTATACCTGAAAATCCATATATCATATTGTTACTAGATCTACATATTCTTCTGACCACTTTTTTTGTTGCTCAACACTCAACATAGTATTAAGTATAAATATAAAGGGATAAGAATATTAATAAAGAAGTCACTCGACTCACCATTAGAATTTCATGATAGTCACAAGTTGATTTATCTGCCACACAATAGAAATAAAGTGTGTGCATCACATACACAATCAACATGGGCTGTTGTATTTAAACTGTCTTAGTCTGTGGCCACTAGCTCTGTTGGGCGCACTGACAAATTCCAATTGCAAATCATATTAGTTGGGTGATACTGACTCACCAAACCCCTGGAGCTTGATCAAACCCAGGTTAAGGACCACTGTACATCTAAATCAGAGTAGATCTAGGAGCGATTCTATTTTACCTACCTACTTATACGTTTTTTTTTGTTACAGTTACAAGTCTTGCACCATCTCTGGATCTTTCTTTTATTTTAAAGAAGTTTAAGAACTACAGCACAGATGAATACTCAACCATGGATCATGATGGGGTAGGCTTTATACATTAAAATAATAATATGAGCGACATAAAAAAAATTTAGGAAGTATATATTTTAAGGATCAATGTCAATAAAGTTGCAAGTGTAAAGAACTCCAAAATTTGTTTTTGGGTTTGTGGCGCATTTATTTTGTTTTTAAATTTTAATCTGAAGCTTCATAAAGTTTGACAAAGACCTCACAATAACATTTTTATAACCACATTGTTTTTAATAACACCACACACGATTATAAAAATATTTCATGGACTATAGAGACTATTTTCGTTGTCCATTTAATGTTTGAAATCTGAATATCGGTTGAGTTTAATTAATTAGCAGAATGCTGTTTTGTTGAAAGTTTCTCAGCTCAATTCAAGGCTGATGATATACAGTTAAATAATGGAAAGTGTTTTTATAAAGATGTGTAGTATCAGCTCCTGTTTGTAGGATATTAGACCGCTTATCATTTTCATTTTGTAAACCATTAAGACAACTTTCTTACTTACCTGTTATGGCTTCTTTCTCTTTGTATGACAATTAGTATAATATTTTCAGTTGAAAGGTACACTGATAGTTGTAAACTTGCAATATTTTTTCAATTTTACTGTTGTAATTCTGCAATTAATAGTTTTCCATTTACTTTACTTTACTAATTAATTTACTTTACTAGACCTAAGTAATTTGTCCATTAATAGGTTATTTTAAGTGCATTTTTCTTTTCCTTTACAGATGTCAGTTCCTCCATTGGCTTGTGCTTTTGCAAAGAGTAAATATTAATTTCTCTTCTGATAAATTAGCATTTTGCAGAATGATTAAAACTTAATGGAAATACGTTGTAGTTTATTGTTTTCTTCATTTACTGATAATTTTGTAGTTTATATTTGTTTCTTTACTTAAGTTATCTGTTGTTTTAAAATTTTCAATTCTTCTGTAGTGCCACAACATCAGCATATAGTTGGTGTTGTTGATGAAGATGGCTATCTGGGTTTATATGACACTCGCAAAACTGGTCAAGCTTCCATTATCAACAGTAAGTAACAGTTAATCAGTTATCAGGTATTTGTTTATTGTTGCAAGTAATAGCACAAAAATGTAAGCCGTATTTTTGACATGTTGGTATCAGACATCATGTTTACAGTTTTTTTTAGTTTCAAAATCCTTTTTGTTTTTTAAGTTTGACCAAAAGTATATATTCTCACTAGAGTTATGTCTTCTCCATCTTTTCCCTTTCGTGCCCAAGACTCATGGGGCAGATTAAGTAGAGTTCATGTTTCAATGACCTTGACATATTAGGGGATAGTGTGGTCAGCAATATTCCCAGCCTCCTAACGTGAGTCAGGTACCTATCAGGGCTGGGGCCCTAGATACTATAGCCTGGGATCCGAACTCGAGACTTTTCAAGTTAGCAGTCAAGCACTCTACAGCTAGGCCGCCATCCCATTGTTGGGTCTTCTTGTTTGCTATTAGTAAAGTTCCCTTTTCAAACCTGATGGTCTATAGGGCAAGTGAGGTAGAGTTCACTTGTTTCTGTGACCTCGGCATATGAAGAGATAGTGTAGTCAGCACTATGCCCAGCCGCCTTTAATTTCCCTAACATGAGTTAGGTACCCATCAGAGTTGGGTGGACTTGTTTGCTATTAAAATGTTGTTATTGCCAGCTGAAATTGGATATTGATATAAAAAATTTCTCCAATGAAATTTGGACAGACTGGCAAGTGCACGCCAATGCTGTGTTTGACATAGAGTGGCTGTAGGAAGAGAATGTGAGTTAGGTACCCATCAGAGTTGGGTGGATTTGTTTTCTATTAAAATGTTGTTATTGCCAGCTCAAGTTGGATATTGATATAAATAATTTCTCAAATGAAATTTGGACAGACTGGCAAGTGCACGCCAATGCTGTGTTTGACATAGAGTGGCTGTAGGAAGAGAATGTGAGTTAGGTACCCATCAGAGTTGGGTGGACTTGGTTTGCTATTAAAATGTTGTTATTGCCAGCTGAAATTGGATATTGATATAAATAATTTCTCAAATGAAATTTGGACAGACTGGCAAGTGCACGCCAATGCTGTGTTTGACATAGAGTGGCTGCAGGAAGAGAACAAGATCCTCACTGGGGCTGGGGACCAGAAGATTTGCCTCCACGACCTGGCTACCCTGGAGAAGCTGGAGGTCTTCAGTGGCCACACCAGCAGTGTCAAGTCTATATCGGTACACCCTGGAAATGATGGTAGGTCAAGGAGAGATTTTTGGTTAGGTTTATAAAAGGTTTTCTTTCTGTCTTTATGGCTCAGATTTTCTGCTGTTGCCACTACTGTATACATCTGATTTGGTTAGATATAAAATAAGGGGGTGGCGGTGGAAAATGTCATATTTTATTTTATAATTTTAATTAATTAATTAAAAAAAAACTTTTACAACATAAATTACATTCCAAGCCATCTAGAGCTAATTAAGCATGCAAATAGAAACTGACAACTTTTTTGTTTGTTTTACAGCTGTTTTTGTATCTGGTTCTCGTGATGGCCATATAATGATGTGGGACAAAAGGATATCACATAAGGGTGAGTGTTTACAAACTTTATCCCCTAATATAACTTTTATTTCCTGTTTGCTTTTAAACAAACGAACCAATTTAATTTCATTTCCAGATGGTGGAATCCCACCTATTAATACCATATTAAATGCCCACACGCTGAAACACAACACAAACCCCACAAAGGCAAGAAAGAAAGCCATGTCTCAAGTTAGGGTATGTTCGATTTTCTTTCTATTGTATTTCTTCAAAACAGGTAGTTAATTATTTTTCAAGTATTTAATCAAGGGGAACTGTATTTAAAAAAAAAAGATATTTTTATGATAATCTTCTGCATTCATGTTTAATTCATGTAGCGAACATATGATTCATTATAACATAAAGACTTAAAATTGTATTTATCTGAAAATGTATGATCTTTTGGTATATAGGATGCACATCAGAGTGTAACGGCAGTGTTATTCCAGAATGAAAATTATGTAATCTCATCTGGTGCTGTTGATGGGTATGTATATCAAAACTGTATTAAAAATATTGGATTAGAAGTTAATTTGTTCTCCGTATTGGTTTTACTTAGTGCTGTGATTGATCAGCTACATAATTTTGATCTTTTAAATTTATTTTTTTTCAATTTCAGGTGCCTGAAAATCTGGGATATCAGAAAAAATTACAGGAATAAAATACCAGGAGCTGTTCCAGTTCATGTTTTTAATTACCCAGGAACAAATTCAAGAAAGCACGGTATTCATAACACTCAATGATTATTGTTTTATATTACACTATTTTTTATTTAAAGCACACCCTAATAAGAAATTATTAAAATAAAATATAATTTTTACATTAGGTTATTCAAGCCTTGTGCAAGATTCGCGCGGTTTACGTCTGTTTGCCAGTTGTACTGATGATGTTATTTACCAGTATGATTTGGCTTCATATAATCCAGTACCTGGTAAGTTTTTTTTTGTCCTTGTTTTAATTGAATTTGTTTTAAAACTTTGTAGTTTTTGTATAGGCCTAAATAAAATAATTTTAAATAAGAATGGCATGTTTTCTTATTTTTCTTTAGTTGGAATACATTTTGTGACTTTATAATCGATTACCTGTACTTTTTCTTATACTATCCCATAACTTTAAACTTTCAGTAAACACCTGGAAAGGACACAAAAATACAACTTTTTATGTGAAAGCAGCCTTGAGTCCAGATGACCAATATCTTCTAAGTGGGTCAAGCGATGAGCATGCCTACATTTGGCAGGTATTTGTTGATTTTCTTGTGATATCTGTAATCATTCAACAAGCAATTTGGTTTAGAGCCCAGGTAGTGTTGTTAAGGAAAATCAAAGGAGCTCTTTGAAGAATAAAACTAGATTTTATTACTATGGGGAAAAAAGAAGGCTAATCTCAAAATAGTTACAAAAGAATTTTTTTATTATTTAGACTTTTAAAAATTATTTTTAATTGCAATATTTTTTATACAAAATACTTTTAAGTATATTCCAAAAAAATCCATTTGACAAAAGCTGTTTTATTTTAATTGAAATAATCTTTTGAAGATAATTGTTCCTATTTCTAAAGATCAACAAACCAAATGTTCTGCCAATCATTTTGAAAGGCCACACTGCTGAAGTCACAAGTGTAACATGGTGCCCAAATGATATAACCAAGGTAAGTATTATTTGTGTGCACACCTAAATATAATAAATCTTATTAGTAAACTAACAAAGTTACACAGTGTGATGACGCAAGGTTGCGTCAAGCTCAGGTAGATAGCAGAAGCAGGCTATAGCAAGTTGGTCAGACTAGTCAGAGAGAGAGACCAATAAAAATACGTGAACTGACCGGTCACGTGGGACGGTCAGCTGACCACTGAAGTGTGGGCCACTGTTAGGCCGGGAGATCATGATTAGCTAGCGAGGGCAGAAGGTGTCAGGTTGTAGAATGGAGCAGACGTAGTTATGTAGAGAACAGTTAGAATGTAGATAGTGGTAGGATTGGTCATGGAAGGGCGTGTTAGTAGAGTTAGTAGTAGTAGTAGTAGTAGTAGTAGATAGTATTTAACAGGCTAGTTAGGTAGGAAATTGATTTATAATTTTAATAAAGAACTTTGTATTTGAAACTTGAACTGTGTTATTGGATTCATTCGTTCCGCCTTCTTAAAAATCCCCACCCTCACAACTGGTGCAACAAGAACTTCTAACAAAGATCTTTTCGTACCATCACACACAGCAATCATTTTATTATTGATAAACAAGTTTAACTAACTCATTTAAATTGAATTAATCAATCTGAACAATTTTAAAGGTGATTTCATAATTATTAATTATTTGAAATTTTTGCATTATCCCAATACAAAAAAAGTAATAATATGCGTTTGTAGGAAGACACGTAGGTGTTTGTTTACAAAGGAATTTTAAGTTATGTCTTTTTTTTTGCCCTTAGTTGGTGACCCTGTCGGATGATACCAAAACAAAGTTTTGGCGTGTTTACTGTAGGGAGCTGAAAGAGTTCAATCACCCACAGATACTTGGGAAAGCAGAAAGAACTGCAAAAGAGAGAGGTTGGTAGAGTTTTAAAAAAATATCTGATTTCAAAATTAAGTCTATCTGGGATTAAATTGAGCATTTTTATAACTTAAGTTAGTAATTGAAAATTGTATGTTACAGCAACATCAACTGCATCTGATATTCCATCTCTGCCGTCTGTAAAACCAGCTGTGGAAAGTACTTCAGTCTTACCTGCTGCTTCAAATTTGAAGGCGGAGAAAAAACCTGTCAAAAGCAACCCAGACGGTCCTGTCAAGTCAATTTCTCATTGGCTTAACATAAAAAGGAAAGCCAACGGGGACCCAAATCCCTTGGCCTGTAAAATGTTGCGTCAAGAGTTAGAACCGTCCACTTCAGAACAGTCTAGTCTTTCTACTGATGGCCATGTTAAACAAAGCATGGCCCAAGCTCCATCCCCAGCAGGCAAAAAGCGACCTTTTGAAGAGTCAGAAGAATCCTCCGCCCCTGACTCGCCAGTTTGCGTCCTTGACCCATGCGTCAACTGCTCCCCTGATAAAGGCAACTGCAACAAACATTTGTTCTCTAAGGCTAAGAAAGCCAAATACACAGATTCTCAAACTGTCAGCGCCAGCCCTGAGGATAAAAAAACCACAGACCAAGCGTGCTGTGTTGATAATCATAGCAAACATTCGCCTTCTAAAAAAACCAACTGTCACAGGAACACGTCAGAGAACATCCCCCATTTGTCGCCCCAGAAACGCAAGCTGCCTTTGGATATGAACGTTTCACCCAAACGGCCATGCTTGACCAGTCTCAGCGGGAACAAACTGGACAGCTGCAGGGTTTCATTATTCACTGATAAACTACCTCTGGATAGTCAGTCCGCATCAAGGTTCTCACAGTTTGAAACAGATTTTAAAGTTGATTCTGAATCAGAGTGTGAACATAGCTCTTCGTCGTGTACTATTAAAGACACCTGCGGTGACCAAACTTTGTGTATGAGTGAGTTTCCCCACTGCAGTGGGAGTTTGAGAACTCCGTCTAAAGAAGAGCTCTTCACCAGCAGAGTGTCTGATGAAGCTGACTTTAACTCCCCTACCAGAAATCTCCCCAATTTAGTTTTTGATGAACACAATCAAACTGTGACACCTCCCAGGCAAGCTGTTGGTCACTCGCCTAAAGTTGATTGGTTGACCCAAATCAGACTTGAGAAGATTAAAAAAAGTACAGAGAAATCTCCAAAGCAGACGACTCCCGTAAGATCAAGAAAGGTATGTAAACAACCAGTTTTAAAAATATTTTAAAAACACATCTTTCTTCTGCTGCATATGTACAAGTATTCCCCTGAATTATTTCCCATCTTTAATGTTTAAAATTTACCAAAGTTGTAGTTCTTTGTTGCTAGTACTAAGCTTTGGTTGACTGCTCAATGAACTATCTAAAACTTTTCAAGTTGTATTTCTGTTATACCTGGATATAAACATATTTTTTAAAGTAAGGCTTGAACCCTCTAGACTTACACATCCATGCAGTAGTTGTCAGTCTGTTACACAAACATTGTATAGTTTGTTAATATTGTATAGCTTGTAGTAAAATTCCCATTCAAACCTAACGGTCCATGGGGCAAGTGAAGCCGAGTTCGCCTGTTTCTGTGACCTTGGCATATGAAGCGATAGTGTGGTCAGCATTATGCATGGCCTCCTTTTCTTTTCCTAATGAGAGTCAGGTACCTATCAGATCTCAGGGAGGTTCTACGGAAAAATTCGCATTTGAACTTTAGACTTGGGTTAGCAATTATACGCATTTCTATTCGACTCCAGCACCCTTCAGTTTGTAGAATATTTAATACAAAATGAGTGTTCGAGTTATTTCAGGGGACACAGCCCTTTTTCCTTAGAGGTTAGTCTTGTTCTTACAATATGCTGATCATTAGCTCTCCAGTTTATTTTTGCTGGTCTTTGTCTTACAGGTTAAAGGATTGAAGAAAATCAGCACATTTTTCAAGTAACCAGAGAACCAGTTGTTGACGTTGTTACAAAAACTGTTTATGTTGGAGAGCTTTAATGTTTCATGTACATACATATGAATTTAAGCATTTATTTCATGTACAAATCCCACAATGTGTTCTGTAACAAATTAGTATCAAATTTTGTATACGAGTTAAAAAAATGATGTGAATAGTTTTATTTTGTAAAATGCAAATTCCCGTTTATGGCATTTATTTAAATTAACCATGACATTACAATAGCACCGAATATTATTAATAGATGAGATTGTTGTTGAGTGCAGCTGTGGAAGAATAAATATAGAGTTTTGTTTACAAAGTATATCTATATATTTTTATAGATCATGAGAAATCAGCTTTTTAGTTTATTCACCTTACACTATTTCAAGATAAAGTCAGAAATATGTAATGTGTACAATATCAATTATCTTGTTAATTATTCATAGAATATACCTTTGAAATTTAATTTTTAGTTAAAGAGTATCGTAAAAATCTTAGAATTATAATTTAGATGGACAACAATGAAATTGTTTTTGCTTAGTATTTGTGTGCTTTTGAAACAGTATTCACCATTTAAATAAGCCTATGTTCTTTGGTTGACTGAATGACTTGTAATAACAGACTAAGCCAATTTAGTAGGTGGATCATCATATGTTCTTCAGTTGACTGAATGACTTATGATATCAGGTTAAAACTATTCAGTAGGGGGAGATTAACATTTGTATAGATAGAAAAGCAAAGTGTAATGTCCTTTTCAACTATGTTATAGATTCTGTAAGTTAATTCAACATAATTTTAAATTATTAATGTAAACAAACCAGATAAATTAATGCAAAATGTATTGTTTAATTCAGGTTTTCATTGTATTTTTTATACATTTTTTCATTAATGAAATAATTGAGCCTTCCTTGCTGCTGTTTATGATTCATATCTATGAATATCTTTTTGTTTACATTTTGTCTGTTGATCATGTGACCTAAAGATGTAAATAAAATATGCTACTAATAATTTTTGCTATTTATTATTATTCTTTACTCCTTACATAATAATCATTAGTATATTTAACAGAACATAATTAGTAGTGTTAGCCACTTGCTCTTATTGAGGTAACTTAAACAATCAGACAACTGACAGCACTCACAAAAAACACTACTTTTAAACTATTTATTGAATTGTGCTGCAGTGGATCCCTGGCCACTGCCAGATACAGGGTAATGAGATTGCGGACCAGCTGGCAAAAATTGGGGGAAAGAAAAAACAACCGGAAATCTCGCTACAACCAAAAGAAATAAAAAGAATAATAAAAAACAAACAAACGCAAATGTGGCCTGACACACCCTCACTACAATAAAGATGATGGATATTATAATTTGACACGAAAACAACAATACATAATCTTTAGACTTAGAACAGACCATAACAGACTAAATCAACACATGCATAAAAAACTAAAAATTGGGTGTGGCGAAATATGAACTTGTGGCAAGGCCCTGGAAAATACGGAGCACGTCCTTCAGGAATGTTCTTTATATAGCCAGGCGCGAGACAGACACTGGACCCTGGTCACCCCACTCAGGGAAAAATTATATGGGGCACCTGCTGATCTGGAGATCACAGTCCGGTTTGTTCACGAAGTTGGACTTGTCTAAATCCTCCACCATATTCTCAATTAAGAACGAAGAAGAAACTATTTATTAAATCTTGAAACCTTTTTATTGAAAACACAATAATTGATCAATAAATTGAGTAGCATCAAAATACAAAGAGCAAAAGATGTAGACATTAAGTGATTTATTTGTATAAAACTTGCTAACCATTTTTACAAGGATTTTCAAAAACCCATTAATTATTTAATAATAGTACAAACCTAATACATCTCTGTATTAAATTTAAAAAAAAAAGGTAATTGGTTATGAAGTAAAAACTTCTGGTGAAATCCTGAGGTTTTTATTTTTAAGCTCTCTGCTAATCTATCAAGATAATCACAATCCAAATATAAAAAAACTTCTGAATATAATATGTACACTGATATTAGTTTTTTTTGTTAATTAAAAAAAAAGATATAATTATATGAGAACAAAATAAGTTATAATAAAATTAAATGTTAGTAATGTATACATGGTATAAAACAAGGCAATTTATTTTAATGCTCATCTTACAGCTTATGAATTTAATTAAGTTAGATGTATAAGGATTTCCTCAATACAAAGCTTCTGAACATGTTTAAAAAAAAAATGATTTTTAACTTGTACAAAGATGATATTGTAACACAACCATTACAAGGTAAGGGGCGGAGTGGTTGGGTGGGTATGTGTATGGTTGCATGTCATGAGTTCAAATCATTGGGCAGATGAGGCTCCTTAGCTGGGGACAGTAACCCATCGAAGAGAAAACTCCGAAATCAAACAGGAGTGAAGCCCCTTAGGTGATAGGATTACCAACTCTGGTTTCCTTAAGGCAGCTCCAGCAACACTGTTGATTCCAAGTTGTACAGGTAACATCCTGTCTTAGAGAGAGGGGGCCTGGTACATCTGGCTCTTCTCATCTTATTGCCCAGGCATTGTGCTTGGATTTCCAATGCGCAGTCATCAAGTGGTTTATTAAACTATGGAGCCATAACAGCCAAAAAATGACAGGAACACAAAGTACACAGCAATAAAATAAATGTGACAGCAAGGGAGCCACAAGTTGGGGGTCAAAATTAATAGTTTTGGCCTGCTGCTGGTCTAAGCCGTGACCCTTTGAAAGCAGACGTAGCCCATACATGCAGTGCAATAATTAAAGACAACATGTATCTTCTTGAGCAATAAATATGAAAAATTGGATTGATACAATTTCATAAAATGCAGTTCTCCTTTGACAGTGGACTCTACCAAAAATAGATGTGTTGTTGATAGTATTGTAAGTTTTAGTATTAGGGTTATAGATATTTAGTTTATAGCAACACCCATTTTTAAGATCATTCTATTATCAGAGATTGGTATGGAACATCCAAAAAACTCTAAATGTAGCTTGTACTCTTTATTTAAGATTTTTTAAAATGACCTTGGCAGGAGATTTAACATTTCAACACTTCTGTAACAAACAAGTTATTAAAAAGTCTAGTGACAATTTAAGCGCAATTTCCTTATGTTATCCATAACAATTTTAAATCGAGATAAATCATATATTCAGCAAATAAATAATGCAACACAAGTAGTTTTAATAATTCAAAACAAAATAGAAACCAGTATGGAAATTGCGCTAAAAAAAAAAGACAACTATATTAACCTATATCAACAGAAATAGTTTTATTTTAACGAGTAGGCCTACACGATGCTCAGTTTAAAAAAGTAGTAAATATCATCCTATAAATATAAACTCCTACACGATGCTCAGTTTAAAAAAGTATCCTAGGCCTACACGATGCTCAGTTTAAAATATATTAAAAAATTTTTTGTGACCGAACGAAAGGATATTTTTGAAAACTTTCTTCGGCAATATTGTTCTAAATTATGGCAGGAATCGATTGGTAAATGTTTCAAGTCGCTAAGTGGTCTGGTTGCCGAGATATGGAGCAAAAACTGCATTTGTTCGAGGTTTTTTGGCTTTTCCGTGAAATCCAGGAAGGAATTCCGGGAATTTTTTGGCCTATGTTCATCCTCGGAACTTGCTTAACATATTTGCTTTTGGAACTAGTCCTCGATATTGCTTCGTTGAGGAGAAGATACGACTTAAAGGCTGCGGACACACATCCATCCATCCAGAAATGACGAGTTAATAATCGCAATTTTTCCTGTAAGGAAATTGCGCTAAAAACATAAAAAAATCATCCAGGGATTAAAGAGACTTTATAAAGTACAGAGAAATCTATGCAAACAGATCCAGGAAAATGAATAATTGTATGTAAACAACCAAACTTTAAAAATATAAAAAAAAACAAACAAAAAAACCCCGCTTTCTCAAAGACAGATAACTTCTGTTGCCAAAGTTTTCCCATGAATTATTTCTCCTTTTTGAGGGTTAAAGTATTGTGATTAAGGCTTTCTTTCTTTGTTTGTACTACTAGTAACCAAAAACACATCTTAAGATTTCCTTATCAGAGATTGGTATACAAAAAATTAAAAATGTAGCTTCTATTCTTTAATTAAAATTTTCATTTTTGGCAGGGGAAGAAATAACATTTCAATACTATTTGGTACAAACTACATAAAAAAACCAGACAGGTATTTGAGAAAAACAACATATATTTCAAAAGAAAATCCTGCAAGAAAAATAAATAAAAAGAAAATACTGATAGATTTATTTATAGAACAAGCAGTTAGGTGTCAGTTTAAATTAAACTTATTTTACTCAATGTAAAATCCTTTGGTATTAAAATGGACCCAACTGTATAAAAAACATTTTATTTTAACAAAATCAAACAAATTATATAGCACAAAATTAATTATGTTAAAAATAAATTATGATAAAAAAAAAATCATGTTTATTTATCATGTTATATAGATGGAATGTAATGATCACAAATCACTTATTAAATTTTCTGCAGATCATAGCACACAGAAGTATGGGAAGATAACTATGGTTGAAATGATGCTCTAATCTGCTCATATTTCTGCAGATCTTCATGGGACACTGAAGGCACTAAAGTATCTAGGGCTGAGTCAAAGTCCACTTCATCCACCTCCAGATTTTTCTGATCTTCATCTTCCCCTGCAAGTGAGAAATTATAAATCTAATTAGCAACACTCTTAAATTGGTTACAATATTTTCTATAGAAATTATTAAAAAAAAATTGGTGAGGGGGGTGGGAGGAAAGGGAGAGAGAGGGCTGACAGTGCCTCCCAAAAAGATGCCTGTAAGAAATTCTCTGCTGCTGTCTAATTTCTCACTGAATCTAAGTTGACCTGTCAAAATTGCTTTAACACTAACTTCTAAGACAGTTGCACATGATCAGGCATCTGCATAAATGATTACCTCCTATTTTGAAATATATTGCAAATTCAATTCTTTGTTTGAGGTAACATAATAAAAACATTTGCTAATAATTACGAGACATGAATAAATTATTTAAATAATGAAAATCAAACCTAAATTAATAAAATTAAAACAAATGCCTCCAAAACTGGTAAGGTGCTGTTTACTTTGTTAAATAAAATAACTAATTACCTGATTCCAATTTTTCAATTTTTCTCCTCATGGCATTGAGCATGGCATCCGCACACAGAGCATAGAGGTCAGCACCAGTCAAGTTGGGCGGACACTTTTTAGCAACGTCTATTAAATTCAGACCAGAGGCCAATTTAAACCTGATGAAAATATACACATATTATTGAAAAAATGATAATTCAGTTTTAATTTTCAAAATAAGATTACAACTGAGCTTGGCTGCTTCAGAAAAATATACTTTTATAATTAAAACAATAACAAAAAAATAAAATATTTAGTCACAACTTTACCTGCCTCAGGTATTGACCCACTAGATGTTTTAATTTTAAAAAGATTATTGAGCTGAATTTTTACTATCAAAGATTATCAAATGGGTACATGATTGAATAACTTGGGTGTAAACCTACTTTGATGTGAGCGCCTTCAAAATGTTCAGCTGTGCCTGCCAGTCTGAGTTGACCCCCAGGTACAGCAGCTTGTCAAATCTACCAGGTCGCAGGAGGGCTGGGTCAAGCAGATCTGGACGATTGGTGGCCCCAATCACAAACACTTCTGATGATTGGTGCAGGCCATCAAGTTCAGCAAGGAGTTGTGATACGACTCTGTGCACACATCAAATATTTTTTTGTCAACATTTTGTTTACAGGGCAAGAAAAATTTTAGCTGTATGGTTTGACTTTTTATACCATGATATTAGCCATTTCCAAAGAAAATTTAAAGACAAGAACATTTCAAATAATAACTGTTCAAGGGTTTAACTCCATTTTAAAAAAAAGTAGTTGAATTATTTATTCATTAGAGTTTAAAAAAAAAATGAATAATACATTTTTATCTCAAATATAACACATATAAGGTCTCATCATTATTTCCCGTTTGTGACAAATGGGGCAGGTGAAGTAGAGTTCATCTGCTTCAGAGACCTTGGCATATGAAGGGACAGCGTGATCAGCACTATGCCCAGCCATCTTTGCTTCCCTAACGTGATTTACGTACCCATCAGAGCTGGGTGGACTCCACTGATTTGAACCCGGATTTAAACTCGAAACTCTCAGGTTAGCAGTCTAGCACTCTACAGCTAGGCCACACCGTCCCCCCATATAAGGTATGGTAAAGAGATTTATTTTTTCCACAGAATAAGTATCCCAGAGTTTCTGTGGTATGGAGCAATACCGTGAAACCCACTTGTAGTTTGCTGATGTGAATTAGAAATGGTGGCTGGGATGACCTTGGCACAATCCATTCACATGCACAGATAATCTCTACCTTCCACTATGGATTATTAAGTCTTAAAAATCCGCTTCCCTACCAGGGGTAAGGGATTTTAAAAATCTGTTTACCACCAGGTCTTATCAAAATGGGAGCTAATTACCTGTCCATGACCCCTCCTGAGTCCCCACTTTTGCCTCTGTTGGGAGCCAGGGAATCTAACTCATCAAAGAAAATGACACAAGGGGAAGCACTCCTTGCTCTTTTGAACACTGAATGGTAAAAACAAAATACAGTTAAAGACTAAATTATCAATTATATCACACTGTAAAAATATGAGTGATTTCATCAGTGTTATTATGGTATTATACCTCATTGTCTAGATTACACTAATGTAAAAATATGAGTGGTTTCATCAGTGGTATTACTCTAATGTGAAAATGTTAGTGAGTACATTGAGTGAGTACATTGAGTGCGTACACTGAGTGCGTACACTGAGTGCGTACACTGAGTGCGTACACTGAGTGCGTACACTGAGTGCGTACACTGAGTGCGTACACTGAGTGCGTACACTGAGTGCGTACACTGAGTGCGTACATTGAGTGCGTACATTGAGTGAGTACATAGCCTACCTTCTCTTACATTTTCCTCACTCTGACCCACATACATGTTGATGAGTTCTGGCCCTTTGACACTAAAAAAAAATATTGACATTTTAAAAAAGGTTTTAAATCTTTGTAATCTAAATTTGAGGGAAAAACTGCTTGATGAAAAATTATAAAAGGGAATTTCTGTGAATGCTTCCACTATTTCACATTAAAAACACTGAAAACTGAACATATATTCACAAATAATTACTTCACAATAAAAACATAGAATATTGCTTTATTTTCACACACAATAAATATACACATATATGAACAGGTAAATTAAAGACTTGTGACTAGCTTTTTTCCCTTTGACTGTGTTATTAGGTAATTTATATATTATATATAATCTTGTTCTTGCAGAGATAACAACAATACACAGCAATTATATAGATATATATTACCAGCAGTTGCAGCTTTGTGTATTTAGGTGTTGTAATAAAAAAAGACATAACAGCATTAGTAAATTTCCCTTTTGGACCTGGCGGCCCATGTGGCAGATGAAACAGAGTTCACCTGTTTCTATGACCTCGCCATATGTAGTGATAGTGTGGCCAGCGCTATGCCCAGCAGCCTTACTATCCCTAACGTAAGTCAGGTACCCATCAGAGTTGGGTGGAATAAGGGGCGTGCTACGACTCTATCAAAAGACCCCAACTTTAGAATTTTAGGTTAGCAGTCCAACACTCTACTATTCGACTACGCCATCCTATCTAACAGCATTAGCTACTGTAAATGACTTTTATCAAGACAAGATCACCTGAGGAAGTTAAGAGAACATTCAGTGGCCACAGCTTTAGCAAGTAAAGTCTTGCCAGTCCCAGGCGGTCCATAGAGCAGAACACCTGGATTTGGGCAGGTAAAACATTAGATTTAGACAGGTAAAACATCAGATTTAGGCAGGTAAAACATCAGATTTAGGCAGGTAAAACATCAGATTTAGGCAGGTAAAACATCAGATTTAGGCAGGTAAAACATCAGATTTAGGCAGGTAAAACATCAGATTTAGGCAGGTAAAACATCAGATTTAGGCAGGTAAAACATCAGATTTAAAAGATTGGCATAACATGAGATTTAGGCTGGTAAAACATTAGATTTAAAAGATTGGCATAATATGAGATTTAGGCTGGTAAAACATTAGATTTAAAAGATTGGCATAATATGAGATTTAGGCAGGTAAAACATTAGATTTAAAAGATTGGCATAATATGAGATTTAGGCAGGTAAAACATTAGATTTAAAAGATTGGCATAATATGAGATTTAGGCAGGTAAAACATTAGATTTAAAAGATTGGCATAATATGAGATTTAGGCAGGTAAAACATTAGATTTAAAAGATTGGCATAATATGAGATTTAGGCAGGTAAAACATTAGATTTAAAAGAATGGCATAATATGAGATTTAGGCAGGTAAAACATTAGATTTAAAAGATTGGCATAATATGAGATTTAGGCAGGTAAAACATTAGATTTAAAAGATTGGCATAATATGAGATTTAGGCAGGTAAAACATTAGATTTAAAAGATTGGCATAATATGAGATTTAGGCAGGTAAAACATTAGATTTAAAAGATTGGCATAATATGAGATTTAGGCAGGTAAAACATTAGATTTAAAATATTGGCATAATATGAGATTTAGGCAGGTAAAACATTAGATTTAAAAGATTGGCATAATATGAGATTTAGGCAGGTAAAACATTAGATTTAAAAGATTGGCATAATATGAGATTTGGGCAAGTAAAACATTAGATTTAAAAAATTGGCATAATATGAGATTTAGGCAGGTAAAACATTAGATTTAAAAGATTGGCATAATATGAGATTTAGGCAGGTAAAACATTAGATTTAAAAGATTGGCATAATATGAGATTTAGGCAGGTAAAACATTAGATTTAAATCACTGACAAACACTGATATGAGAGCAAGACAATATTACATGACTCTATTGCAGTCTGACACAAGCTGGTTACTCTAAATGTGGAAAATAACTCCCAACAACATAACTTCACAAATGCTACTGTTACTACTTTTGTCTTAGGAAACATAATGGAGGTTAAAAAAAATCATTACAGAAAAGCTGGATTTAAAAAAAAAAACAACCTTCATTTCAAGACTATTTTAATGACAATCAAGTTTTCTGTATGCTCAGTGATCATCATCTTTTTCCCGTTCGTGCCCAAGACACTTGGGGCAGATGAAGTAGAGTTCATCTGTTTAAGAGACCTCAACATATGCAGGGATAGTGTGGTCAGCACTATGCCCAGTCACCTTTATTTTCCCTAATGTGAGTTAGATACCCATCAGAGCTGGGTGGATAAAGTAAACAAAATCTCAATCAGGTATTTGTCCAGAGGTGGTATTTTTTAAAAATCGGGCACTTTTAATTACCTGATCTCCGTAACCCTGCGGCGAGTAGTTCTGGATGTTGCAAGGGCAGCTGGACCGTGTCAATGATCTCAGACTTAACATCAGCCAAGCCACCTATGTCGTCCCACTTCACTGAGGGAATCTAAAACAAAATAACATCACAGTAAATAGCACAACTGACTCAAGGCCACCAATGTCGTCCCACTTCACTGAGGGAATCTAAAACAAAATAACATCACAGTAAATAGCACAACTGACTCAAGGCCACCAATGTCGTCCCACTTCACTGAGGGAATCTAAAACAAAATAACATCACAGTAAATAGCACAACTGACTCAAGGCCACCAATGTCGTCCCACTTCACTGAGGGAATCTAAAACAAAATAAATTCACAGTAAATAGCACAACTGACTCAAGGCCACCAATGTCGTCCCACTTCACTGAGGGAATCTAAAACAAAGTAACATCACAGTAAAAAGCACAACTGACTCAAGGCCCCCAATCATTTACAATGCTAAACCTTCATTTACTTGAAATAAACACAGAGTTTTGATCCACAAATTTATTCAAATTTTAAACAATAATATGGGTGTTAAAATAAAATTAATAAAAATCTTACTAATGTGTGGTAAACTTTAAAAAATAAATTTACTTATAAATAATTTGAGCAGAACTATTTAAAGACCACCAAATCAATTAAAATGTGAGCAATTAATTAAGACAAAAAAAAAATGCACTTAAATGTTAAACAAAGATCATAAAAAAAAATCGTACTATTGTGTAAAGAATTTATAAAAAAAAAACAAATTTACTTTTCATATGTCAATTAATTTAATTATATGTTAAACAAAATGTGGGCTAAAGGTACCTTAGGTGCACCAATACTGTCTGAGTGGGAAGCCTGCATGGTGTCCAGGGCCTTCTCTAGGTCACACTGCTCCATCACCACCCCTGCAGTCACAATGTCTTCTTCTCTCTGCAGGCTCGCTGGCAATCCATCTGCACAGCTGGGGATATGTAACACAAGACATTTTATAAGATATTAGCACAACTGGGAATATGTAACACAAGACATTTTATAAGATATTAGCACAACTGGGAATATGTAACACAAGACATTTTATAAGATATTAGCACAACTGGGAATATGTAACACAAGACATTTTATAAGATATTAGCACAACTGGGAATATGTAACACAAGACATTTTATAAGATTTTAGCACAGCTGGGGATATGTAACGCAAGACATTTTATAAGATTTTAGCACAGCTGGGGATATGTAACACAAGACATTTTATAACATTATAGCACAGCTGGGGATATGTAACGCAAGACATTTTATAAGATTTTAGCACAGCTGGGGATATGTAACACAAGACATTTTATAACATTATAGCACAGCTGGGGATATGTAACACAAGACATTTTATAACATTATAGCACAGCTGGGGATATGTAACACAAGACATTTTATAAGATTATAGCACAGCTGGGGATATGTAACACAAGACATTTTATAACATTATAGCACAGCTGGGGATATGTAACACAAGACATTTTATAACATTATAGCACAGCTGGGGATATGTAACACAAGACATTTTATAAGATTATAGCACAGCTGGGGATATGTAACACAAGACATTTTATAACATTATAGCACAGCTGGGGATATGTAACACAAGACATTTTATAACATTATAGCACAGCTGGGGATATGTAACACAAGACATTTTATAAGATTATAGCACAGCTGGGGATATGTAACACAAGACATTTTATAACATTATAGCACAGCTGGGGATATGTAACACAAGACATTTTATAAGATTATAGCACAGCTGGGGATATGTAACACAAGACATTTTATAACATTATAGCACAGCTGGGGATATGTAACACAAGACATTTTATAACATTATAGCACAGCTGGGGATATGTAACACAAGACATTTTATAAGATTATAGCACAGCTGGGGATATGTAACACAAGACATTTTATAACATTATAGCACAGCTGGGGATATGTAACACAAGACATTTTATAACATTATAGCACAGCTGGGGATATGTAACACAAGACATTTTATAAGATTTTAGCACAACTGGGAATATGTAACAAGACATTTTATTACATGTTAGCACCTCAAAAGTGACTTGTATGCATCTGCACAGCTGGGAATATGTAACACAAGACATTTTTAAAGATTTTTTAGCACAACTGGGAATATGTAACACAAGACATTTTTAAAGATTTTAGCACAACTGGGAATATGTAACACAAGACATTTTATATGATTTTAGCACAACTGGGAATATGCACTGTAAAACATTTTATATGATTTTAGCACAACTGGGAATATGCACTGTAAGACATTTTATAAATTTTAGCAGCTCAAATAGATACTTTACTTCAGCACAGCTAGGAATATGTAACATAAGAAATTTTATAATATTTTAGCACTTCAAAATAGACTTGTATCCATCAGTGGAACTTGAATTTGGAACACAAGACATTTTATAAGATTTTAGCACCCCAAAAGAGACTTGTGTTCATTAACACAACTAGCAAAATTAAATGTAAAACTTCAAGTAAGATTTTAAAGTAGTTCAACATAAGTTTAAAAAATGGTAGAGCAATCTATAATAATCATACAAATTTGTAAATAAAAAGGTACTTTTTGTGAGTACTTGAATAAAATTAATATTAAAATACATGTTAACGCAATATAAACACAATTATTTATTTATATAATGACATTACAAATGAGTTGTGTTTCTGTGTTTGTTATTTACCAGAACATCATTTTCATAATTTTCAAAATGCAAAGGATTGATTCAAAGTAGAACTAAAGCTCGCAAGAAACATTAAAGCCCTGAGTTTGGTTAAAATAAAATACTTAGAAAGTATTACTGTTCACACATAGTACACAAACATGCTAAAATATCTTTGAAAAAAATATTTAGATAAAAAAAAACGTAAATAGGAGAATGATATTTTTAAATACACGTACCAAATTTTAAGAACTTTTTGATAAGCTTCTCGTCTGGCTTGGAGGATTAGGGTGATTAGGTCACCCAGCACAAACCCCTGGTCACAGATGTACATTTAAATTATACTTGAGAATAATTATTTATATTTATATATATAAATATATATATATAAATAATTATAAAAACAACTGTTACATAATTGAATGCCTTATGGCAAACTCTCTTCTTTATATAAGCTGGTGACCAATGGTATTTTTTTCAGTCTCCATACACAATAAAAGTGCAAATAGGTGTTGTTAGCCCCCCTTCAACATATCTTAGTTATGTCACTTCTATTAATTCCCCATGAATAACATCTATCAATATAGAGAGTAATTCTCTACCTAAACTTCCCCTCACCTCTAATCCACTACTGTCTACTGATTAAAATAATAAGTATGGTAATCATCAATACATACAGCAGTTCTTTGGGCAAGATGACTGACTGACAGGTCAGGGGAGGCAACTAAACTGTCAAGTAGACCCTGAATTATTTCTGCCCTTTCCATTTCATTAGGTGACTGTAATATTAAAAATAGAATTATTATTAACAAATAAGGTGAAACAAAACTGTGGATAAACAATCAAGCTATTTCCATTTCCATTAGGAGTCTAATATTTAAAGAATTATTCATTACCTAAGGGTAAGGCAAGCATTTCTTCACAGGGGGGGGGGGGGGGGAGGGAAGAAGAGGATTTTACAAAGAAAGAAATTCTGATGTAAGGTGAAACGAAAATGTGTACAAGCAATAATCCTCATCATTGCTTTAGGTCAGGGGTCTCCAAACTATGGCCCGCGAGGTCCTATCATCCGGCCCGCGGAGATCATTTTGTCCACGGAAAAAAAGGTTTGTTGGTGATGGCTGAGGAACTTTGCCCAGAAAAATCAAAGACATGCCTGGAAGAAACTGGCCCCCGAACTGAAATTTTATAGTTAATGCGGCCCTTGGACTGAAAAGTTTGGAGACCCCTGCTTTAGGTGAATAACATTTAAAACATATTCATCATCATAAATAAGTAAAACTAATTTCACTTACGGATTCAAATACAACACTAAAAAACACAAGAAGATTTTGAAGTTCATTTTTTTAAAAATCAAAACACTACACTTCTAATCTCCCTGTGAGCTGTGCCAATATAAAACCTCCTATAGTATAACCTCACCTCTATAGCCACTTCATGCAAGAATGTCGGCAGCATATCCTCAGCAAGACTTGCGATGTTGCTGCTGGTTCCAGCTATTATGACAGGGTACTCATGGCACTGGTCTACAGTCTGCTGGATTATCTTGTGGAATGTGTTGATGATCCTGGGGTCTACAGGTTAAAGAACAATCCATACTGTAATTAAATAACAACTTTTTGGGTGGAGATTATGGCATATAGCATGTTTTATAGAGCAATTATCATCTTTTCCCTGTTTGTGGCAGACACATGTGGCAGATGAAGTAGAGTTCGTCTTTTTAGTGACCTCGGCATATGAAAGCATAGGCCAAGGTCATTATTATGCCCAGCCGCCTTTACTTTCCATAATCAGAGCTGGGTGGACTAAGGGCCGTTTTGCAGACCTGAGCCTGCATTTGAACTCAATCTTTCAGGTTAGCAGTCGAGCGCTCTACCACTAAGCCACACTGTCCCATAAAGCAATAATAGAGTATGGTTTTAGTACCAGAGAATTTTAAATAAACATGCAAACTTGTGTTCAAAGCTTCATTATAATAATGTCAAAGAAATATTCCATAAAAAAATTACTACACTATTTTCAGGAATTGAACAATAAAAAGAACTTCCTACCATCACTTTTACCATCTCTGTCCTTGCCTATTACTTCAATATTCCTCAGTAACAGGATACATGGGGTATACTTGATGACTGAGAAAAGACAAATATTTAAAAATAAAATCAGCAGAATAAAATTGAAATTCCTAACACTTGTAATATTAATCAACATCATCTTTTCCTGTTTGTGCCTGAGACAAAAAGCGGAGTTTATCTGTTTCAACGCCCTTTAGCACTCAAGGGAATGACAAGAGTCAGGTACCAATCATAGCTGGGTGGACTCAAGTATGTCAAACAGACTCAAGCTCGAGAACCAAATTCAAGGCTTTTGGGTTAGCAGTCATAAGCTCTACCATCCGACCACACCTAAAATTAATAGTCTTTACTAAACCTCAAGCTCTTAAATTCCTAACATTGAAACTGTAACTCTCTATAATTTGAAAATAGTGAAAAGTTGGCACCTGAATTGAGTCTGCTCAGGTTCTTATCTGTTGCATCTGAATTATCACCAATCAAATCATGGCAGTTGATCTATGTATTGATAAATTGATAAATTAAAGATCCTTACAAATAAATTATTTTACCTAATATATGAAAGCAGATTCATTTAAAGAATGGCTCAAGAAATAAAAACAAATGTATTAAACTTAGAGGATATTAGTACCCTTCTATTAAGAAATACATATTCATAAAGTATACCAAAATGATTTTATGCACTACCTCCATAACTTGCATGTGTAATCTCCGAGCAACTGTGTAGATGATTGTCCTTTTACCACAACCTTTTGGTCCAGAGAGTAGAACTGATGACATCAGCTCTCTAATAGCTGGGGCATTGTATCTAGGTAACAAAAAAGAAAGAAAATAAAAGTATAATTTAACAATTTATTTTTATTTTTTTAGACTACAGGAGAGTAGAGAATGCAAACAGGTTTCATGTTTGGGTTGAAAGTCAATCACCTAAATTTTTTACCAAAAAAAATATTGTAAAAATAATTCATTTGATCATATTATTTAATATAAAGGTTACAACTAAAATGTAAGAAAAGCTAAAATGAAACATAAGTTGTTTACAGAATGCAGCAACTTACTTATTGTGAATGTGAGGTAGAAGCAGGTACTCCAGCTTTCTGACATAGTTCTCTAGCCCAGGGCACACAATACTCTGCCCATATATGGCATCAAGGCATGAGAGATATTTGCAGGCATTTAGTGGCACAAAGCTGTGGTCTGAACCAACCTATAAACAGAAAAGGCCAATTATTATTGGTTATTATTCATTGCATTTTGACAGCTAATCACATTTATCTGTATCTAACAGCCATTCTTTTTCTATTGATAGATGATGCCAATAATGATTCTTTTTCAAGCAATCAGGGAACAAAGCTTAAATCTATAACATAAGCTATGTACTTACTCTATATAAACAACAATGACCCATAGATAACCAATGGGAATGTATAGAAATGGATCTACTACTTGTATCACATGTATTAGCTACATAGAGGTTTCAGACCCATTAACTACATTACCTACATATTGTCTAGGTGCTTTGTTAAAGTGGGAGATACATGAAGGAATGTTGACAGTGATGGACTTTGTAATCCCCCCCCCCCCCCCCCCCAAAAGTAATGTATTAGGGTAGAGTTGATGATGTACAACACAGCATGTATGTCATAGAGGTTCTAAAATTTTTGGGTTAGTTAGGGGTCATCCATTTATGACGTCCACAATAGGGGGAGTCGAAAGTGGATGAGTGTGGATGGGTGTGTGTGTGTGTGTGTGGGGGGGGGGGGGGGGTGTGTGTGTGTCGGAGTGTGTCTAAAATCCAAAATTTTTGTGGACATCATAAATGGATGACCCCCTAACTAATCTAGGCAAATGAGTAAAATTGGCAGCATCAATTAAGCAGAGATCATTGTAAGTAACAGATGTTGTAAAATACTAGATTTAGTTACCTGCTTAAGGGTAGAGTTGACAGTGTCAATCTAGCAGGTGTTACTTTATGTAACAGAGGTTCTAAAATTCTTGTATTATTTACCCACATTGGGGCAAGAGTTTTCAATGTTAACATAGGAGAAATTCATCTTTATCATCTTTTTCTGTTCGTGCCCAAGACACATTAGGCAGATGAAGTAGAGTTAATCTGTTACAATTACTTCAGAATACAGGCGGATAGTGTGGTCATCACTATGTCCCGCCTACTTAGTTTCTCTAATATGAATCAGGTAAATATCAAAGCTGGGTGGACTGAGGAATGTCCTACAGATTGGAGCCCAGAATTTGAACACAAGACTTTAGGCTAGCAGTCATAATCTCTACCGTCCAACCATGCCGTCCTTGCAGAAATTATTGTATGTTAAAGAGGTTCTAAAGTTTTTGTATTAGCTACCTGCTTAAGTGTAGAGTTGACAGCATCAATATAGCAGACATTATTGTATGTTAAAGAGGTTCTAAAGTTTTTGTATTAGCTACCTGCTTAAGTGTGGAGTTGACGGCATCAACATAGCAGACATTATTGTATGTTAAAGAGGTTCTAAAGTTTTTGTATTAGCTACCTGCTTAAGTGTGGAGTTGACAGCATCAACATAGCAGACATTATTGTCTAACTGCTTTGGTAAAATGCCAGACACCCTGAAGAATATCACAGGTTTCCTGATTCTGGTGTCAAGTCCTGGTGTCGGCCAAAAGTCAGGATCATCTAAATACAAAAATTTTCAGTTGAAGGCTAATTTTGGTACTGTTAGCTTAGTTATGCCACACCTTTATGGTTACACAAGATTCAAAACAAACTACATCATTGTATAACTACTTCAACTTATTTAAAAAAATTTATTCAACAAAAAAAAAAAAAATTCAATAAAAAGTAAATAATATACTGTGTACAAATAAATTAACCCTCTAGAAATTAAACCAATCAAATAAGTTTAGTAAGGCTGTATTTAAACTTAAAATAGAACTTGAATAAATTTTTAAAAGTAGATGGTCAAGTTATTTTCTTTATAAAAATATCCAACTTCATTGTTTTTTTTTCCACTAAAAACTAACAAAATAATTTATTTCTAATTAAAAAACAACAACCAAATGTTTCTTACCTATAGAGCTGACTGCAAACAAATCTCCCACACCAAGCAACCTAAAAACAGACAGTATTACTGATAAATATCCAGACTATTCCATACGAGAAAATGGCCCGTTGAGGAAGGATACAACGGGCGCTAGGTTGATAGTGCTGTCTATTTTCTCGGTACTTTAATTTATTCAAAATATAGTCATAGGCATATCCCTAAAACATGCACCTAATCTCATTCATGACAAAAGTCGCATAAGAGTTTCTTTCAGGCAACTCTACGTGGGAGGAGGGGGCTTCGCCCCCCTCCCCCCCCTCACACACACACTCTAAAACATGTCTACCGTCCCATTCAACTAAATATAATTATATACTTTTTCCAGTGTCCGCCCCCTCCCAGAAAATTCTACCCCCGCCCCCGAAAATTTCAAGTACCCCCACCCCTCTCCGGGGAGGAAAAAGTCTGAAAGAAACACTGGTCGCATTTGTAGATCATACAAACTAAAGGAAGAACTGGGCGGGGCTTCGCCCCTACCGGAAGAGATGCTTGAAAAAAAAACTGCACGCTTAACACTTTTTAGATTTGAAAAAGTTCCCCCCTCCGGGGAGGAAAAAGTCTGAAAGAAACACTGGTGTCGCGCTTAGCCACAACCGGAATAATTGCATTAAAGAAATTGCAAGAAAACCACTTTTTAGATTAGACACATTAATTAGGCGGTAATTTTATTATAGAGTATCGATGAAGAAATTTCTTTTGAGTTGGGGAGGTGGGGGCTCAGACGTTCTTACGCGGGGGTGGGGCTTCGCCCCTACCCGAAGAATTGTATGAGAGAAACTCTTCACACAAACCACTTAGATTAGACAAAATTGCCTTTTTATTCAATGTTTACTCGAAAATCAATGACGTCATATTACTGTGTGCACTCTCCGGCTTGATATTATTTTCTACTATATGACGTCATATTTCGTTTTCGTTTCACTGTGAAAGTTTTTAAATTGCTTATGTTTTCTCTAGAGCGTTCTTGTCAGATAGATACACAGACAGTGAAACTATTAGAATTAATGAAAAAAAAACAGCATTTATATTGAAAAAGAAAATTAGAAGATGTAAAAAAAAATAATAGTGCACCTTGGGATCTGAAAGTATTTCTTGAGAGACTGGTCATGTTTGGCTTGCGGGGGATAACTTGGGGAGTTGATGATAGTTATCTGCACCTCCTGGGCATAAGGGACCTGTGTGCTCACTGAGCGTGACAGCTTGGATCCACTGAAGTCATGGCTGACTGGGTTGGCTCCTGGTTTCTGGAGACGGAGTAAAATCACAGTGAGGAAAATAAAAATCACACAATGATGAAAACTGAAAATCACACTATGATGAAAAATGGAAATCTCATAATGAAGAAATTGAAAATCACTGAATACAATTTATTAACTCAACCTCATAATAAATTACAGCACAAAAATGCCAAATAATGTGTAAATAGAACAAGAGTTCTTTTAAAGTTAAAGAAGGTGACAATGAAGTGTAGTTAATCTGTAAACACTGACATGAGTGGATTTTGAGTCAGCACCTTGCATAGCTTATTTTTACTTTCTCAACTTCAATTAGTTACCCATTATAGCAAGATGGAACTCAAGATTGGTAATCAAGCTCAAGAATTTTTGGCAAACCATGCCATCACTTCATCTTGAATAAGTCTATTCCTTTGTTATTTAAAAAAAAATATCATAACACTGTTGAGTTGGAAATATTACATTACAAATGGCTTAGCAATCTATATTTATGCATATATACTTTATCTAATATTTCTGTATTTTCAACTGAGATGAAAATTGAAAAAGAAAAATGAAAACTCTAAAAATGTAGCGTAAACATTTTACTGTACCTCAATGATAAGGAGGGGTGTCTTGATAACCGGAGGACTTTTCTGCAAGTTAAACAACAAAATGGATGAAATGAACACCATGTCTGTGTCATCCAGTCTACCAGTGAGGGCCTGAACTTTGACGAACTTCTGTTTGGGTTTCTCTTGTTTTAAGTATTTCTCTGCGTCGTCCAGGTTAATTTCTCCCAACAACTCTTTCTGGTACAAGCAGACCTTAAGAATTGTTCCGTTAAAAATTCTGTATTTCTTCATCATCTTTTTGGGCATTCCTATCACAGAAGTTAAATCAATCGAGTCCACGGTTTCGTCTTGTAGGAGAACTTTTTTCCAGTGGATCAGCTGCTGGATGACGCATGTACTTGAGCAGAAGAAGTTGAAGTTTTTTAAATCTGTAGCGTCATCGTTGAACACTTGTGAGCTTGGCTGGTTGACGAAATCTGACATGAGAATCTCATACTGCTCAATATCATGGCCTGAAAGGTGGCGATGTTCCGAAGGTAGGCGAGTGTTGGCCTTTTCAAAGTAGATTACGATCTCAGTGGTTGGCTTGATTAACCCTATCTGGAAAGGCGCGGATGCGATGGCTTTGATACTAAAGTACCAGGTCTTCTTGAATTTTTCATCTTCGTGAAACATTTTAGCTATTGGAGCGAGAAATACGTCGTTCTGGCGCACAAGTAAATCATGTTGACAGATTTCCTGTTTGAGCCCTTCGCTAAAAGTATCTTGCTGGAGCCACTGATAAATTTCTTCATCATTCACAGAGAAGATAGCTTTGTTCAGGGGAAATAACTCAATGGCCCTAATGTACAATAAGTCTGTGTGTTTAACATTGTAGTGTTTGCTGAAGTATTCAGTGCATTTGAGAACTATTTTATAACCACTCTCCACACTATCGTCATCACTGTCTTCGTCTATCGATAGAGAATGGGCGTTTGATATAGGCGTAGGAACCGTCACTGGGGAGCTGTCATTGGCAGCCAAAACGCAAACGATGATATCCTCTGAGATGACCACACTGGTTGCTACACCTTGCAGCTCTGGGGAGGGAGTCGACCTCCCCGAGGAGCTGGAGGATGAAACATCAACAGAGCTTTCAGGTTCTCTTTTGATCCTAATAGCGCAAAATAGAGTGTCGTCCCAGTCGGCTGATTTTTTAAAGATCGAGTAGTCTCTTTTAGAAATCTTTAGATGGAGAGGGTTTCTTCTTTGGTCATCATCATATTCTTCACACAGTTTAGCAGCATAGCTTCTTCTGAATTTCCCAATCTCATTTTTGTCAGCCATTTTTTCTTCTAGTAAAATGAGCAAACAATTTTGAATTAAAAATTAATTAGTAAGCTATCTAGATCACAATGAAATTTAAAAAAATAAAATAATTGTATTAGTACTGATGGTACAACTAACTACTGATTCTACATTTGTTGGTACATTTCTTATTGGCTACTTGAGGGGAGGTTTAGAGTTTTGTGGCTATATTTGATGAGAGGTGTGGGTTCAGAAAATGTGATGAAAAGCTTTTGCATTTAAAAAAGTAATGTTTGAAACTGTTTTGAAACCTTTTTTTGTAAATTGCAATAAAAATTGATCTATACAATTACTGTTGAATGAAAAGTAAAGTTCCCTTTCAAACCTGACGGTCTACGGGGCAAATTGAGTAGAGTTCCCTTGTTTCTGTGACCTCCGCACATGAAGGGATAGTGTGGTCAGCACAATACCCAGCCGCCTTTACTTTCCCAAACGTGAGTTAGGTACCCATCAGAGCTGGGTGGACTCAAGGACGGTATCTGACATGGACCCGGATTTGAACTCGAGACTAACGGGTTAGCAGTCCAGCTCTCTACCACTAGGCCACTCCATCCCACAGTTGAATGAGCTCAGTTAATATTTTTTTTTAGGAAATAACTGTTAAAAAAAATCTATTGGGGGGGGGGGGGTGGGAAAGTCTGGTTAGACGTGTAACAACACTTTAGGGGGAACTGACTTTTCATGTAGATATGTGTTGATCACAGTGACATTTGAATACTTAGTACTTAAGTATAATAAGTTAGAATATATATAGAATATATATATAGAATTATTAGAATAATCTACATCCTACAACAGTACACCCCACAGTGTGTGTAAAAAGTCCACAATCTAGATCTTATTTAAGTTACTTACTTACTAGATCTAGATTCTAAGTATTACTAAGAGTCTAAGACTAAGCTAAAGACTACTAAAGTTAAAGTAGGCCTAACTAAAGTAGTTAAGTAGAAATCTAGTAATAAAGTAGACTTATTACAATAAATAATAAGTAAATAATATAGATTCTACTAAATATATAAATAAATAAGAATATATGAATTACTTTTAAATTTTCATTTACTAACTAATATAATTAATATTAAAATTAATATTTACCTCAACCTGGCGCTCTACAACACTAGACTAGTTTGTTTTACTGTTTTAGTAACACAGTAACTGTAACAGACTAGAGTTACTGAGGTACTGAGATTATAGTTCAGTAAAAATGTCATAGCTAGATAGATATGGACCTAGGCCCCCTTTTTTTTCCCCATAAAACCTCGGGCTAAAATTTTTTCTCTTAAAATCCGGAATGCCTGCGGTCGTGTGGTTGAATGTAAGCTATTCATTCAGTCGAAGCCGTTTCTAGGAAATAAGAACTCGTATGGATTTCCCCTTTCTTTTATTCGGTTTCTCTAAATACCTAAAAATGCATTTTTGAGGTAAGCCTGAACGGTACCGGATTCTGGCACAGTTCTACATTGAACATTGTATATTAAATTATATTAAATAAGCGATAGGCCTAAATCCATTTAAATGTTTACTTTTTACGTTTGCGGATGGGGGGTGGGTCCTTATGGATGTACACACGTAAAATTGAACATCAAAATTAGTAAATGTTACAAGCCGAGCTTCTTTTAGACATTTCTTGGGTCGGGGTGGGGGGGGGGGGGGGCTTGAAATTTGTTGGGTGCGCTTTAATTTTTTATTTTCTGGAGGTTAGCGGTCACTGGTTAAAGTATATAATATCTAAATAAATTATATATTTCGCCCGGGGAGAGGGCACTCCCCCACCTCATCCCCACAACCCCACCAGACGAAATGCCCAAAAGAAAATCTGATTATAAGACACAAGAAGCTTTGAATCTTGCCCAGATAAGCCACACCACTAATGCTAAAAGTGCACGGGCGAAAAGCTAAGCTCCAATTTAATGCACGTACGCAGCCTTGACCTATCTCTGATGTCAGACATTTTAAAAATATCAGCCTCTAGGGTTAAAATAAAAGTAGTTTCAGTCAATTTAATTAGTTTATTAATATTTAAAAATGTGTTAATTTATTATGTTATCAGATCTCGTTATTTAAAAAATAATAATTTAATAATTATTCATTATCTACTGAACAACTAGGTTTAAAGAGAGCGGAATTAGCATAAACTGAGTTAAAGCCCCTGAAAATTGAGCGTGAGTGATTCCTAACTTTTTGTGACGATGTGTGATAATGGGAAAATGGAGGATAACATTGAGGGGAGCTTTGTGACATCACTCAATGTTGGTCTGTAACGACGTGTGACGAAAGGGGTCGTTTTAGTGGGTGTAAACATCTGCATCTACTAATAACTACTATGGAGGATACATCCATGCTAATGCTTCTAAGATACACACATGTATGTATATATATATATATATATATATATATATATATATATATATATATATATATATATGTCAAAGACATATCATACACGGAGTTCAATTTTGACGTTCAACAATGCATGCTTATTTAAAATTTAGTTACCGTATATTGAAAAGGTTTGAGAACCTCTGATGTGTAGAGTGGAACTCTTTAACAGAAGTTAAAAAACGTAAGCTTTCTTTTATTTGAAGTTAAAAGTTTCATACTAAAAGTAAACAAGCACGTTTGCTACTGAATCTCATTCATAACATTTACAGCTGAAACATACAACTTAAAAAAAAGATTTAGCGGACCCTTACAATTTAAACACGATCGAAACAAACAAGGCAACTGTAGATATTTGCGCCTGCTGTTACCATCATGAAGTAGGCCTTCTAAAATCAAAATTCAAATAATGTTTTGAATTGTTCTGGCCCCACTTCTTCTTCTTAAATAATCTTAGCTGCTAGCTTAGTTCTTAATTTTAAATTTAGATTCTTACTTACTTTTTTATTTTTACTAATCTTATTTCTTAGGCCGGCCTAGACCAGAAACACAAATTTCGGTAATCTATCGTTTTAGGTACGTAAAATCTAGTGATGTGAAAAATTTGAGTAAATATTTCATATATTTTGGAGGATTTAAGTAGGCCGTTCGATTCAACACTTCCGGGTTTGTCATTTTCGTGGCATCTCACGGCTCATGCGCTTACTAAAATGGCGACCAGTTTCGCTTTCTCTAAACGGTAGAGGGATAAAACTATTGATTACGATGCCATCGTTAATTTTAGAAAACAGAACTATCCGTTTCTATTTCAGTCTGTTATTTAAGAATTCCCAGATGTACTTTTGACCTAATTTCTTTGTTTGTCTCGCAAGCGGCGCGTAAGTGAAAATAGCTCTATGTATTCTTGTCTTTTAAATCAAATAACTCTGAAATATCGCATTCCTTGGAACCCAGCCTATGTTACTTGAAAACTTTAAACTATTAATTTAACACACATTACAATTAACTGGTAATAATTTCTTGGGTTTATGAGATGTGTTCGTGGGCAAACGATCACCCCCCAATAATGCCATTTTATTATAATCTTGTTTGGTGAAAACGAGGCGCGGGAAAATGTGTGCCGCGCAAGAATCCAATCATTTGGCTAGATTTATGACTGTTTTTTTATGTCACACCTAAAAATAGAATGTTTACGCTTTCTTTGTTGATGATCGTTTTTATTATTTTTTAAACTGAAAGTATGAATTATTAGTTATATTGCAGATTTTGTAACTTGGTATACTTACCCTATATCAGTTTTAAAAGCATAGCATGCTAATTGTAAACAAATATAGTCATAAAACACAGAAATATTAAGTTCCAATTGCGATGTGACACACCCGGGTCACACCCCCTCAAGAAAACACGTGTTTATTAAGCTGTTTATCTCACTTTACATCAGTAATTAAAATTAATTTTCAAATTTTTATCAATTATTGGGTAAGATAAAGCACATGTTTACTAAAAATAAAAAATAAAACAAAAGCAAATTCTGTTTTAATGAGGGTCACGGGTCAAGTTTTTTTTCCTTCTGTCAAGTTCAGTGGAGGGTGCCACAGGCTGACCTGACTTTGGAATTTTTTTCAGTAATAATGACTTTGCACAGAAAGTTAAAATATGCTAAATTAGCTTAGTTTACTAGTGTTCTAGCTATTATTGATACATTTTTAATAAAAAAAATCATTCAGTAATTCTCATCAAAAAGCCTAATTTAAGTTTTGAAAGTTACAAAATGTTTCAAAATGGTTGCATCTGTTGGAAACATCGCTAGTCTTCATTTATTCCCTGAAAAGTTATAATTCAATTGTTTAAAAACAGGTACATAAATAAAACTTTAAATCCTCCTCAAAATGTGAAATAATTATAAAAATTTAAGGAGTCACCTGTTTTTCACATTACTAGTCGCGGGCGATTTTACTTACCTATAACGATAGATTACTCTTTTAGCCTTTTTCTTTTAGGGGCCTAACAAAATTAACTGTATTGTGTTGTTGAGTGGTTGCACTTTAGGCGGATCGTCAGGGGGATAGAATAGTCTGTAAATAGTGTATAACATCTTTAAAAAAATATTTTTAATAGCATGTTTAAATCTACTATTTAAGTTTATATCATGTTAAGTTAATCCCTTCAGGATAACTCATAGGCCTGAACAACAAACATTTAGAAGACAAGAAAAACCAGGCCACAGTAGCACTATTTAGTAAATATGCACATCTTCTTCCGGCTAGAATAGGTCTAAAAAAAATATTAGCGATGTTTTCATTTACTTTAGCAGCAATCTTGTTTAGGTTTTTTTTTGGTAAAATTATAGTTAGAGGTTCAGGGGAAATCATTCTAATTTACAGATGGCAGCTATTTATGTAGCAAATCATGCTCACAAACACTGCTGTTTAAGTTAATTTCTGGCCTATTATTGACATATTTAGCCATTGCTTTTGGTTTATTATTCACTTATCTATTATATTTGACACAAATATATCACACTATACTTGTATTAAAGCCATAACAAAGAGGCAACTTTTTTTCACATTATTAGCTTTGGTCGATTTTATGCACCTAAAACGATTGATTACCCAAATTATTTCTAACAATTAAATTAGGCTAGGTCTATTTAAAATATTTTTTAAGGCTCCTGTTAATTATTTATTAACTAAAAATTTATGCTAACATAATAAATAATATTTTGATTCTAGATGTATTAATTGATGTTTTATGAATTTATGGCAGAGCCCCAGTTGGTTATCATTTCATATGACCAATGACTGGGAATATCCAATATACTACTATTTTTACTACTAGGCCTACACCATTAAATATCATTTATCACTTTATTGGGGAATAAAGTATAGATCTAGATATCCAACTCCCAATTACCATTTTAAAAATAACTTAGATTAGGCCTAATATCATGTGAAATAGCATGTCCATTTTAATCAGCTATTATTCATGTTTCCATCCCAATTTTCCCAAGTTTTAAAAATATTAAATGGAAACAGTTCCAAATGGAAATAATAATATGGCTAAACAGATAAATAAATGAAAACTTTCTTTTTCTGCCAGGCTCAATGTGGATGGTTTACTTGTTTATTTCCCTTATGATTACATCTATCCCGAACAGTTCCTGTATATGCAGGAACTTAAAAAAGCATTGGATGCCAAAGTAAGCAATTTAATGGATGTGACTTGTAGCTTCACTAGCCATGTAACTTGTATTTGCACTATTAGATAAAAGGAATGTACATGTTAAATACTGAGACAGCAGTAACTCTGACAGTAGGGCTAACTTGTTGGTTATAGTAAATCCTTAGTACACACAACACAATGTTATATTTTGAAATTACATTAACACTTATTTAAAAGAAAACGTGTCTATGACACAATTGACATCCATCTCCAGTTTTGCCTTAATAAATTTGAATTAGAGACTGCTGATTGGATGATGTGTATGTTCCCATTTTTATTATGATTTAATTAATAACCAAAATTAAACCAAAATAATAACTGCTGAAAAAAAAAAAAACTATTTATACATGCCATTAAATTTTTCCAGGGCCATTGTGTACTTGAGATGCCATCTGGGACAGGTAAAACTGTATCCCTGCTATCCTTAATTATTGCATATATGAGGGTAAGTTCTGTTTGTTTCTGATTATCTAAATATAAATAAGTATATAGTTAAATTGCAATAATTTTCCTATTGTATCAAAATCCTGGTCATGAAAATTTATAAAATAAAACTCACAGAAATGTTCATTAAAGTACATATAATATATCAATGGAAATTTGTCTATTGTTGTTATGCAGGAATTAAATTTAGTACTGTTGAAATTTTAAAAATTGTTTTCTTTGCATTTTGAATTAACGTTGCTAATTTCTTATAATGTCCAGGCAAAACCTCTTGATGTTACTAAAATGATATACTGCTCCAGAACAGTCCCTGAGTTGGAAAAAGTAGGTGCTTTATTAAAGTAAATGTTTTACTCATTGTTTGTGATAAATGGCTTACAGTTTCACTGCATTAAGTAATTCATTGTAATTCTTTAATCTAGGTATGAGTTTATGTTGATTTATTAAATTATCCTTTCATCTCCCCTTCCAATTATTAAAAGAATGTATTTTTATATGTAGGTTGTTGAAGAGATGCGAGGGTTGATTGACTACTACATTCAGGAGACAGGAGAAGTTCCCAACTTTGTGGGCCTGGCGCTGAGCTCTCGTAAAAATATGTGTATACACCCTGAGGTCAGTTATTTTTGGATCAGGAAAACTATGGGATGACTTGGTGGTGTGTGTAGTTGTGGGATAGACTGGTGGTGTGTGTAGTTGTGGGATAGGTTGGTGGTGTGTGTAGTTGTGGGATAGCTTTGTGGTGTGTGTAGTTGTGGGATAGGTTGGTGGTGTGTGTAGTTGTGGGATAGCTTTGTGGTGTGTGTAGTTGTGGGATAGCTTTGTGGTGTGTAGTTGTGATTAGCTTTGTGGTGTGTAGTTGTGGGGTAGCTTTGTGGTGTGTGTAGTTGTGGGGTAGCATGGTGGTGTGTGTAGTTGTGGGACAGCTTGGTGGTGGTGTGTTGTGTAGTTGTGGGACAGCTTGGTGGTGGTGTGTGTGTAGTTGTGGGATAGCTTGGTGTGTGTGTAGTTGTGGGATAGCTTTGTGGTGATGTGTGTAGTTGTGGGATAGCTTGGTGGTGTGTGTAGTTGTGGGGTAGCTTTGTAGTGTGTGTAGTTGTGGGGTAGCTTTGTGGTGTGTGTAGTTGTGGGGTAGCTTGGTGGTGTGTGTAGTTGTGGGTTAGCTTTGTGGTGATGTGTGTAGTTGTGGGATAGCTTGGTGGTGTGTGTAGTTGTGGGGTAGCTTTGTAGTGTGTGTAGTTGTGGGGTAGCTTTGTAGTGTGTGTGTAGTTGTGGGATAGCTTGGTGGTGTGTGTAGTTGTGGGATAGCTTGGTGGTGTGTGTGTAGTTGTGGGATAGCTTGGTGGTGGTGTGTGTAGTTGTGGGATAGCTTGGTGGTGTGTGTGTAGTTGTGTGATAGCTTGGTGGTGTGTGCAGTTGTGGGATAGCTTGGTGGTGTGTGTGTAGTTGTGGGATAGCTTGGTGGTGGTGTGTGTAGTTGTGGGATAGCTTGGTGGTGGTGTGTGTAGTTGTGGGATAGCTTGGTGGTGGTGTGTGTAGTTGTGGGATAGCTTGGTGGTGGTGTGTAGTTGTGGGATAGCTTGGTGGTGGTGTGTGTGTAGTTGTGGGATAGCTTGGTGGTGGTGTGTAGTTGTGTGATAGCTTGGTGGTGTGTGTGTAGTTGTGGGATAGCTTGGTGGTGGTGTGTAGTTGTGGGATAGCTTGGTGGTGGTGTGTGTGTAGTTGTGGGATAGCTTGGTGGTGGTGTGTAGTTGTGTGATAGCTTGGTGGTGGTGTGTGTGTAGTTGTGGGATAGCTTGGTGGTGGTGTGTAGTTGTGGGATAGCTTGGTGGTGGTGTGTAGTTGTGGGATAGCTTGGTGGTGGTGTGTGTGTAGTTGTGGGATAGCTTGGTGGTGGTGTGTAGTTGTGTGATAGCTTGGTGGTGTGTGTGTAGTTGTGGGATAGCTTGGTGGTGTGTGTGTAGTTGTGGGATAGCTTGGTGGTGGTGTGTAGTTGTGGGATAGCTTGGTGGTGGTGTGTGTAGTTGTGGGATAGCTTGGTGGTGGTGTGTGTAGTTGTGGGATAGCTTGGTGGTGTGTGTGTAGTTGTGGGATAGCTTGGTGGTGTGTGTGTAGTTGTGGGATAGCTTGGTGGTGGTGTGTAGTTGTGGGATAGCTTGGTGGTGGTGTGTGTAGTTGTGGGATAGCTTGGTGGTGGTGTGTGTAGTTGTGGGATAGCTTGGTGGTGGTGTGTGTGTAGTTGTGGGATAGCTTGGTGGTGTGTGTGTAGTTGTGGGATAGCTTGGTGGTGGTGTGTAGTTGTGGGATAGCTTGGTGGTGTGTGTGTGTGTAGTTGTGGGGTAGCATGGTGGTGTGTGTAGTTGTGTGATAGCTTGGTGGTGGTGTGTAGTTGTGGGATAGCTTGGTGGTGTGTGTGTAGTTGTGGGATAGCTTGGTGGTGGTGTGTAGTTGTGTGATAGCTTGGTGGTGGTGTGTGTAGTTGTGGGATAGCTTGGTGGTGGTGTGTGTAGTTGTGGGATAGCTTGGTGGTGGTGTGTAGTTGTGGGATAGCTTGGTGGTGTGTGTAGTTGTGTGATAGCTTGGTGGTGTGTGTGTGTGTAGTTGTGGGGTAGCATGGTGGTGGTGTGTGTAGTTGTGGGATAGCTTGGTGGTGTGTGTAGTTGTGTGATAGCTTGGTGGTGGTGTGTAGTTGTGGGATAGCTTGGTGGTGGTGTGTGTGTAGTTGTGGGATAGCTTGGTGGTGGTGTGTAGTTGTGTGATAGCTTGGTGGTGGTGTGTTGTGTAGTTGTGGGACAGCTTGGTGGTGGTGTGTGTGTAGTTGTGGGATAGCTTGGTGGTGGTGTGTAGTTGTGTGATAGCTTGGTGGTGGTGTGTAGTTGTGGGATAGCTTGGTGGTGGTGTGTGTAGTTGTGGGATAGCTTGGTGGTGTGTGTGTAGTTGTGGGATAGCTTTGTAGTGTGTGTAGTTGTGTGATAGCTTGGTGGTGGTGTGTGTGTAGTTGTGGGATAGCTTGGTGGTGTGTGTGTAGTTGTGGGATAGCTTTGTAGTGTGTGTAGTTGTGTGATAGCTTGGTGGTGTGTGTGTAGTTGTGGGATAGCTTGGTGGTGTGTGTGTAGTTGTGGGATAGCTTGGTGGTGGTGTGTGTAGTTGTGGGATAGCTTGGTGGTGGTGTGTGTAGTTGTGGGATAGCTTGGTGGTGGTGTGTAGTTGTGGGATAGCTTGGTGGTGGTGTGTGTAGTTGTGTGATAGCTTGGTGGTGTGTGTGTAGTTGTGGGATAGCTTGGTGGTGTGTGTGTAGTTGTGGGATAGCTTGGTGGTGGTGTGTAGTTGTGGGATAGCTTGGTGGTGGTGTGTAGTTGTGGGATAGCTTGGTGGTGGTGTGTGTAGTTGTGGGATAGCTTGGTGGTGGTGTGTAGTTGTGGGATAGCTTGGTGGTGGTGTGTAGTTGTGGGATAGCTTGGTGGTGTGTGTGTAGTTGTGGGATAGCTTGGTGGTGTGTGTAGTTGTGGGATAGCTTGGTGGTGGTGTGTGTAGTTGTGGGATAGCTTGGTGGTGGTGTGTGTAGTTGTGGGATAGCTTGGTGGTGGTGTGTGCAGTTGTGGGATAGCTTGGTGGTGGTGTGTGTGTAGTTGTGGGATAGCTTGGTGGTGTGTGTGTAGTTGTGGGATAGCTTGGTGGTGGTGTGTAGTTGTGGGATAGCTTGGTGGTGTGTGTGTAGTTGTGGGATAGCTTGGTGGTGTGTGTGTAGTTGTGGGATAGCTTGGTGGTGTGTGTGTAGTTGTGGGATAGCTTGGTGGTGTGTGTGTAGTTGTGGGATAGCTTGGTGGTGGTGTGTAGTTGTGGGATAGCTTGGTGGTGGTGTGTAGTTGTGGGATAGCTTGGTGGTGTGTGTGTAGTTGTGGGATAGCTTGGTGGTGGTGTGTGTAGTTGTGGGATAGCTTGGTGGTGTGTGTAGTTGTGGGATAGCTTGGTGGTGGTGTGTGTAGTTGTGGGATAGCTTGGTGGTGTGTGTAGTTGTGGGATAGCTGGGTGGTGGTGTGTGAAGTTGTGAGATAGTTTGGTGGTGGTGTGTGTGTGTAGTTGTGGGATAGCTTGGTGGTGTGTGTAGTTGTGAGATAGTTGTGTACGGTGCATTACTGGGATAACCTGGTATTATTTGTTTGTGAGGGAATAGCATGGTGCAGTGTGTAACTGTGGGAGATTTTGGTGGAGCTTGTGATGCTAACTTTAAAGCCTCAAACTCAAGTTTTGCTTTCGGGCTTGATTTTATTAGTATGTTACTTAGTCCATCGGCTCTGATGAAAACCAAACATTAGTCAGGTCAGAGAAATGTAAAGATGACCAGGTACTGTTCTGACTGCTTAATCCCTCTGTGTGAGGAGTAACTGTAGCAACAGATTCTGTCCACTAAAAGCCAGAAGACCTAGATAGGGAAAATTTACCAGTTTATTTTTAAGTGCTATCTTTTTCATTTGATGTGGTTTTAAAAGCCTGAAAATAGTATTTAAGTTTCAAAGCTTCTGACTTTTTAATACATTTAAAAATATTTGAATTGTATATGTTCAATTATGTGCTTAAAGAAACCCTATTTGAATAACTAAATGAATAGGTCAGTAAAGAAAGAGACGGAAAAGTCGTTGATGGAAGATGTCACCAGCTCACAGCTTCATTTGTTAGAAATCGTCACAAGAACAACCCGGATGTACCAGTCTGTGACTTCTATGAGGTAAGGTGGAGTAGATTTGGTTATATCACCTGTTGTGTAAAACTTGACTTTCCTTTTTTATATTATATGTACTTTAAAGAACATTTCTGTGAGTTTAATTTTATAAATTTTCATGACCAGGATTTTGATGCAAATGGCAGAAATATTCCCTTACCACCAGGCATATTTGGACTGGTAAGATTTTTGTAAAAATTTTAGTCTACCAATGCATTTTTTTTCCATGTGTAAGGTTTTTCATAAAAAATAATAGGAAATAAACTTCCTGCACAATATTGTAAATTTAAAGTAATTTTGAAAAAAAAATTTGATTTTTTTCCTTACAGGATGAATTGAGGGAATACGGCAGACAGCGAGGCTGGTGTCCTTACTTCCTTGCCAGATATGCAGTAAGTTTATATTAGCTGAGGCGAGCTTAACAGTTTTTACTCTCTAATTTTTCCACTGAAATGTATTATCATTATTACACTGATAATAATAACCAAAGAAAACAATTACTTTTGTTTGTGAATGATTTTGCATGTGTCTTTTTATTATTTTTTTTCTAGAAATCAGCTAATTTAAAAATAAGGCACAGACTGATTTGTATTTAGCATTACTGTAGATAAATTTGCTAGTTACTTTTTAGTGATATTTATTCAGGTGGTTGTGCTTAAATATTATTCTTTTCAAATTTTCAACACTGTTCTTTTTTCTGTTATGATAAAATTTCACTTTAAGAATCATAGTTAATTCTTAAAAACTACGGTAACTGCAGTACTTTTATTCCCCTGTACAGATTTCTCAAGCCCATGTGATTGTGTACAGCTACTACTACCTCCTAGACCCTAAAATAGCAGAGCTGGTGTCAAAGGAGTTGCCCAAGTCATCTGTTGTTGTGTTTGATGAAGCTCACAACATTGGTGAGTAGATAGTGGACACAGTGATAAGTGTCAGTAATTTGTATGCATGATAGTGTGGAAGGTGAATATTTCACACAGCTCTACAATTAATGAGAGTGGTATAGCGTGGCCTAGAGGTAGAGCGATAGACTGCTAACCCGAAAGTCTCGAGTTCAAAATTTGGGCTGAAGTCAGTAGAACATCTCTGAGCCCATCCATCTGACTGGTATCTAACTCACGTTAGGGAAAGTAAATGCTGCAATGCATGTTGCTGACCATACTATCCCTTCTTATGCCAAGGTCACAGAAACAGGTGAACTCTACTTCACTTGCCCCAAGACCGTCAGGTTCAAAAAGGGAACTTTTACAATTATTGAGACAAAATTTAGAAATTAACTTTATAATTGGCAGTTTAATCCATGTCCATAAAAATAGATGGTCCCTACCTCATCTTCCCCATAGATCATCAGATAACTGACTTTCATGTTTTGAGAAAATTATTTAGTAACCTATTGACAATTTTTAGAAATAGTGCAAATATTTATTTGTAGATAATGTCTGTGTGGAGTCAATGAGTGTGAAGATTACTAGAAGAACAATAGATAAATGTAACCAAAATATAGAGGATCTCACCAAACAAATCAAAAGGTATTTATATATATTTCATATTTTGGGATGGATTTTTATACAAAGTAATTAAGTTTTATTAAACTGCATTGAAATTAATGTAAATATTACATTTTTTAAAACTAGGATTAAAAATTCTTTCTAAGTTTATTATTAAACTAAATAAAAAATGAGATAGTTTTGTTAAAAATTGTAATAATATTGTAAACTTTTTAAAAAAAAACAAACCAGGATTAAAGAAGTGGATGAAGCCAGATTAAAGAATGAATATCAGAGAATGGTGGATGGCCTACGTGAGGCCAGCATTGCCAGGGAAACAGATACAATGTTGGCAAATCCAGGTGTTGTACTCAATGTTTTACAACTTGCAGTTGATATTTTTATCAATAAATTATCAAAAAAATAAGTTTTGATAAAATTTCTAAAACTTAAAATTTTTTTTTTTCATTAATCTATTTTTAAAAATTCTGTTAATGTTAATTTTGCAAAAAAAAAAAAAAAAAAACTTAAAATTTGGCTGCACTGGTTACAGGCTTAAAAACGTTTTAATTACATACTTTTGTAATGATATATACTTTTTGTGTTTTGATAACGTATACTTTTTGTTTGTCTTTTCTGCAGTAATACCTGATGAGATACTTCAAGGTAAGTAGCACCTGGATAATACAGTCACAGTTACAACTCAGAATCTAGAAACTTTGTTTGATTGATTCATGAGGGTTATTTAAGTTTTATTGATTAAGAATATTTTTCAAATATTTCTTAATGGCTGTTCATTTACTACAAAGGAGCACAGTCATATCATTTAATATAGTGAAAACCTACAAGACCATTACATGTGTTAGGAGAAATAATACACTGTCAGAGCTGTTGATGTGGCTAATGTTATTACCCAAACCTATAAGAGTGTGCTATATTAGGGAGCATTTGTAACACCATTAATCAAACCATGTATCTGTTGGTTCACTTAAACCCATGACATTTAAAAAATCTTCATTTGTAAAGTAAATTCAAAGCTATTTTAAAATTTTAAACCTGTCATTTCTCAATTATATTTACTGCTTTTTAAATTTAAAAATCTATAAACCAAGATTTTCGGATTGACTACAAGTGAAGAATGGGAATTATTTTTAACCAATTAATTTTTAATAAGGATCTATAGAGGGAGGTAATGCGTTTAAATATTTTACACACATTTTTTGTGCTAACTCCCTTTACATACATGTTTTTCTTCTACAGAGGCTATACCTGGGAATATTCGCAATGCTGAGCACTTTGTTGGTTTCATGAAGAGATTTGTTGAGTACTTGAAGATCAGATTGAGAGTCCAGCATGTGGTGTCTGAGAGCCCGCCTTCATTTCTCAAAGACTGCCAATCAAAAGTGTGCATTGAAAGGAAACCACTTAGGTTAGGGAGTGAAAACATATCAAGCTAAAGCAATTGTGATGAATTTTCTATATGAATTTGATGGAACTTCTTGCTTATAATTGAATAATTATTATTTTTATTTAGAGAGTAAAATGTATTGTTATTTCTGCTTTAGTTTAGAGGATAAAACTGTATTGTATTTTCTGCTTTTGTTTTGAGGGTAAAAATTAAATTATTTGTTTCTTCAGATTTTGCTCAGAGCGCCTGGCATCACTCCTCAGAACATTGGAACTCGCTGATATTAAAGATTACTCTGCACTTTCTCTTGTAGCAAATTTTGCCACCATCATTAGCACATACACCAAAGGTGAGTGTGTGTGTGGGGGGGGGGGGGGCATTCAGGTTATCATTGCACTGTTAAGTTTAATGGGCTAAATTTAATAAGTTAAAATTTATGGAGCAAATTTTAATGGGACATTTTGTGTGCCTTGGTTTTTAATACTATTGTCATTATGCTTTAAAACAAAAAAAAATGTATTCTGGATTACTAACTAAAGAATATGCCTCAAATTTTACCACTATAATCAGCACATACTTGAAATTTAGGCATTGCTGGATTTATCATTAGACTGTTTAATTGAATAACTGCTAATCTGTATGCATTGGTTTTGGGATACCTTTGTTAATACTATTAAAAAAAGTGGAAAAAAAACCAGCTAATAAAATATAATAGAATAAGAAAATTATGTATCAAGTTTACTAGACATCAAATTCAAAGGCCATTCTCTCCCTTGACCAGTGCTAGGCTAACCCAGCTAGAGTAAGAGGAATTGTTTGATATTTCAATTAACTCACAGGATGTTCTATCTTATTTAAATACTTAAAATTCCTAAATTCATCCGCTTACCTTTATAAACTTGTATCTTCATGAGTCTTCTTCTTCTTCTTCGTTCTTAATTATTAGTGTTGAAGGGGATCGAGATTTATCTGCCAGTGTTTAAACTCGAGACTTTGTTCGAATTTATCAACCATGTGCTTTTTTTTTCCGACTCGACCACGCCTCCAACACAATTAAGCGTTACGTGTCAACTGGTTATGTGCCATTGAGGCCATTGACTCCGATTTCAGCCTGCTTTTCTTTTTGGATTTGCTTCCATAGCCTTTGTCCAACCAAGAACAAACTACAAGGCAGCAGGTGTTTTAATTTTGGAGTTGTCTCTCCTAGAAGAGTGGCTGTCCCCAGCTAACGAGCCTCATCTGCCCGAGGGTTCGAACTCGAGACTTTTCGGTTTAGCAACCATGAGCTTTACCGACTCGACCACGCCGACCCCTCTCTTCATGAGTGAATCTTAGTGAAACAATAGGCCACCAAAAAGGTTAAAGGCCAGACTGGCAATAGGCTGATGGCCAAAAAGTAGATAGACCAAATATTTGACACAAATGTGACACTGAATACTATAAAAAAATTTGTTTTATCGCTGTTGTCCAGGTTTCTCCCTCATCATCGAACCATTTGATGACCGAACCCCCACCATAGCCAACCCTATCATGAACTTCAGCTGTCTGGACGCCACCATTGCTGTCAAGCCCATCTTTGACAGGTTCCAGACTGTTGTTGTCACCTCAGGGGTGGGCAGCTTTCATTTTTAAATCATGCTAACGAAAATTTAAATTTATTTTAAAATGAATTGCAGAATGTAAAAAAATTATATCAAACCATAAATAAATATTTTTTTTTTGGAAATGACAAAATTTAAAAAAAAAAAAAATATCTACACCCTCTGGGAAATTTTTGCAAGGGAGGTAATGTTATTTCAGATGGTAAGACTGAGAAATCATTTTAATAATTAAAAACCCCAGAAAACTCAGATCATTTAATTATTTTAATTTTTTATAAGATACGATTGATTAAAAAGTTGATTTTTTTTGCTCTTATTACTAATAATAAGTTTCATGTGGATGTATATTATAACAACATGTAATATATTAAAATGTTTAGCTCTTCATTTTTTAAAATTACAGACATTATCTCCCCTGGATATGTACCCAAAGATATTAGACTTCAAGCCTGTGACCATGGCCACCTTCACAATGACTTTGGCTAGACCCTGTATCTGTCCAATGGTATGTATACATCAATATAGGTGTTAAATGAACATTTTGTTTGTTTGGCACTGTTGGGTTTACTACACGGAAGAGTTCAGCTTTAGCCGGTCCAGGGTAAGGGCTAGTTTTCACAGAGATACATAAAAAAAAAATAAGGTATCTTACCAGCGCAGGATTTACCAAAGGGCCAACCTTAGAAATCTGTATATCAAGCTGTGTATTGAGGCTAAAATGTGTAGATCAAGCTGTGTATTGAGGCTAAATTGTTGCGTGTCAACATGTTATGCTCCATATATCCTGTTGATTCTAACTTCCTGGATGTGCTTCCATAGCCTTTGTCAATCCAAGAGCAATCTACATGGAAGAAGTTGTTTGATATTTGGAGTTTTATCTCGTAGACAGGTTTATCGCCCCAGGTAACGGACCTCACCAGACCGGGGATCTGAACCAGGAACTTTTGGAGTTCACAGTCAGGCACTTTCCTGTCTGACCATGCCGTTCCCTGCAAACTTTTGTGATCTTGTGGTTGAGCTTAGACAAATGTAACATCACAAGCTGTCCTTCAGAGCTTTAGTATTTTAAATTAAACCTCCAACATGAAATGAGCTGATTTCAATCATAATCCAATCATGTTACTCTTTTGAACCTGGTAGTCAATAGAGCAGATGAAGTAGAGTTCACCTCTTCCTGTTACCTCTGCACATAGTGTGGTCAGTTTTATGACTGAAATTGTATTTAAAAAAAAATTATTTTAAACACTAAAATTTGTTTTTTATGCTGTAACTAATATCTATAATTTTTTTAATTTGAAAAATTCTGTTTATGTTTGCTACAGATTGTTAGCAAGGGCAATGATCAGGTTGCTATGAGCTCCAAGTTTGAAACAAGGGAGGACATAGGTAAAAATTATTATGTGTCTAGATTAATTTGTGATTCATATAAAAATTATCTGTTTAACATTAAGATATATCACAACTTCCTTATTCACCTTTGTTGGTCCCTTTACTGCTATAACCTTTCACAAACCCTAACTGGCTACCCCCCACTGTTTCCTCAGCTGTGACCCGTAACTATGGCAACCTACTGGTAGAGGTGGTGACTGTTGTGCCTGATGGGGTGGTCTGTTTTTTTACCAGCTACATTTATATGGTAAGGATTTTAAAGGACATACACTTTTTATATATAACTTGGGTTAACATATGATGTCAGCTGCTTTATGTTAAGTTAATTAATATTTACGAGTCTAATACAATTATCTGAATTTTTTTTTTTTTTTTTTTTTTTTTAAATTTTTTTTTTTTTTTTACAATTATCTGAAGTTGATGTAAATTATCAGTATAATTTTGGTCATTTTAATTCATTAAATAAATGTTAAAAACCAACATTATGTTTGTGTTGCCCATTTCAGGAAACTATTGTGGCTGCATGGTACGAGCAGGTATGTCATTTTCTTAACATGGAAATTAAAGTTGATCTAATGGCAGAAGGTATTTCATTGTTATTTGTATCATCATTGAAGATTATCTTTTGTTTTTACATACAACAAAACAAAAGGGTAGTTAACTAAACAAAATTATCTGTTCTCACTACACACTGTATTTGAAGTTGTCTCCCTTTGCACACTGAAGCATGGTTGTGGCAATTTTAAATTCTCTAAAAATCAAAATGTTATTTGTTTCTCAAAAAGTTCAGCTACTATATAAATTAGTATGGTACATAAAATTCTAATAAATCTCAAGACACTTGATCTTTGTTGCCCATAAATCAACATTTTATTTATAAAATCAATTATCTGTTATAAGTAGATGCAGCCTGCATAAATAAACAAAAAAAAAATACATTCAAGCCCAACCACTCATGTAAAAAAAAAATGATCAGACACTTGGAAATCAGTTGTCAGCAGTACAAAATTTACACATAAAAATAAATAATGTAATAAAAAAAAAATCACACTGAAACACTTTTATACAATTATGTTAATAGAGTTTGAGAGTCAAGTGTAAAGAGAAATTATACATTGCAGGAATGTATCACTAGTGCAAGTCACTAGTGCAAGAAGGTTTAATATAAGGTAACAAGTGTAAGACAATTATGGCAACAGTTACTAAAATTATTGGATCACAGAATCAACAAGCCAGAAAATTACGACATCAGGAACACTAGGTGCTAAAAATAAACATCTCAGTTGAAGAAAACTGAGAAAAATGTACAAATCCTTGCATAAAAATATTTACTTTTGCTTAATAAAAAAGGGTTATACATTTTGGTTTTCTTAATATTTGATTAGATGAGAAAGATCAGATCATTAGTAGTAGAAATGTACACAGTGTTTTTGAGGTTAGTTCTCATTCAAATAGCTTTCACACTTCAATAATTTCTTTTAAATAAAAAAAACATTTTAATATTTGATTTTTTCACAGATCTTTTACATCAAAAATCTATTTGAAAATACAGTAATTAACTATCCAAGAATATATGGTTAAATTTAAACCAAAGTAAGTTTTAAGTCAGTTTAGAATTGCGTTCGTGAAATTTGAAACAATTGATTTGGAAAATAAGATATTGATTCATTGTAAATTTTTAATTCATTTTTTTGCTTTAATTTTTTAAAAACAAAGAAAGTGTAAAGATTACAAAAAAAAAGTTTTTATCAACGGAAAAAAAAAAGAAAATGGAACAACCAAAATGTTCCTGTTCTGTAGTTGATGGATTACATTTCAACAAGTCAATCATCTTCCTTAAGATGGTAACACAGAAACACACACATGAAATAAAAGCATCGCCCAGTAAAGAAAAACTGGCTCAAGTAAATTAGATGTTTTTAACAACTAAATATCTGTACACCACCTCGTTTCATCACATTGCTTGATAACAGAAATACATGATCGCATCATCGCTTGAATACAAATATGTGATTGTAGCACTGCTTTAAAAAAAAAATATTTTAATACAAATTAATTAATTTGTAAGAAAAAGTTTCCAACAGTACTGTCAGTAGTAATTTCAATCATTGATACATATTAGTAGGATTGGCTCTTAAGATAAATTAAAAGTTTTAGTTTGAATACTCTCAAACACTTAAGGAAATAAGTGCAAAGCAAAAATGTTAAATGTACACGGAAAAACTTGTGAAGAAGTCAAGTTCCAGTCAAAATCATTATTCCTTGTAAAAACATAAATAGTAGACAAATTATAAAAGCAATTAATGAACTTTATATTTCTAGTAATAATCCATGTGAACAAGATTAGGACAAATGCTTAAAAAGTGAGATGGTGAAAATAAGGTACGAGGCAACAGTAATACTGCCGACATTACAAAAATGAATGCAAAATGTATTATTGAAAAATTTCAGCTGAGATTAGTTAATTGTTTTCTTTGTATATTTAGCTTTGCAAAACTAGAAACAATTAAATGTTCCAATTATTTTATATCACAGAAAAGATACATAAAACTAGCATTTGGCTTCTTGACATTTGTAAAAGATATAGCGAGCTGATAAATTATTTAACTAGATTGTTTTTAAACTAAGGAAAGGCTTGCACCATGACCAAACTTTTATCACAAATTTTGTAGATAATCTACTGGTGTTAAAAAAAAAAGGATATCACTGCAACCGAACATTTAAAAATTTACTTGTAATTTGGTTAGTTTTTTTTTCAGTTGCTGATAATTTAAAAAATGGAAAGTAAGGGGAGAGAAAGTAAATAAATTAACGAATTGATTATTTTTTTAAATACAACAACTGTATAATCAAATTTTTTAGAATTTTTCCCTCCTATTCCATCTTCTTCAAATGACATGTCTGTATGATACCGGACAGTTGCTGGATAATGCGTGTGTTATCAGCTTGTGGGTTGCGGTGATTGTGTTCTAGATTCCTGAAGAGCTCTCTCAGCTTCTCCTCCATGGCGCGCTTCTGGACCTTTGGTTTTGTATTGTTGGTGCGGTTTCTCTTGTTTGCAAACCAAGATTTCACCTAAAGAATCAAAATAATTTTTTTTTAAAGATGAAACGATGTCTTCTCTTATACAGTTATTTTCTTGATGATTTTCCTAACTTGAACTCTAAAACTTTTTTAGACCAGAGAAATGTAAAAATAAATCTTTCATACTTTGTACTACCGGTTATATTTAGGAATATAATAATTAAAACATGTAATGAAACTCTTATACATAGCTTAAGTGATTAAAACACAAATAATTATGGTACAACTAATTATGGTACATGAAATTGTGGTACAAAACAAAACCTCATTTCACCTGATTCTCTGTGATGCCTCCTCTCTTGGCCATGTCCTCCTTATCTGCTTTGCTGGGGTAGGGATTCTGCACGTGCTCGTCAAACCACTGGGACATGATATTTATAGCCAGCTGGTTCAGTGGCTCGTTGTGTCTGATCACACGCTGACCCTCCCCACTGCACCCGGTTTCATCTCCGTCATCCACGCTGTCTTGGTCCAGCGCCTGATGACCGGTTTCTTCAGACCTGTTTTTCATTTTTTGTCGGCTCCTCGGGTTCTTGGATGTGGAGGTTGTTATTTTATCTGACTGGATCTGAACCTTTCTCGGCCTGCCGCAGCGCCTCGGCACTAGATTGATATCGGTGCTGCACTTTTTATTAAACATGGACTTGCCGGAAAAGCGGCCGCTGTGCATAGCATCTGCCATTGAAGGAAACGGCCGCCTCATGCTCTGCTGCAGGCCGTGGGTGAGCAAAGTTGTCTCCAACAACTCGCTGCTTAGTGTGCAGTGTGGGAAGGCACTGGTGGATGGAATGTTGGAGGGGTTGACGTAACTCAAAGACACAGGCCACGGGTTGTAAAATCTCATGTCCTCTAGCATCTGACCCTCAGGGACAACTTGTGGAATGGGTGTGCTGGACGCTGACGGAGGAGGGGTTAGGGTGGATGGGCTGCAGGTTGTTGCTTGGGAGCTGTCATCTGAAAAGTACCCCAGAGTCATTGTCCTGACTTGCGTCACCGCATCTGCCGCGGGTTTTAAAGACTGTGTCTTCTGTGCACATAATCTCAAAGGACTGTCATAAAATTCCTCATCATCGAAATCACAGATTTCAAGGCATTCGTCAGCATCATCAGTTTCCTCGTCTTCCTCGTTAGTTTCAATCTGCAAGATCTGGTCCAGTTCTGGCGCTGCCATGTCATTTCTGTTGGAAGGACCTGGCCAAAAGGTGGCGTCCATACCATGCCGGAGTTGTGAAGTGGCAGCGTCATGGACGCTCGTGCTGGGAGACACCTGGCTCCAGTCTGAGTAAGTGTTGGGCATAATGCCCGGGGCATTCTGGAAATAGTAATTGTCATGATGTGCATACTGCCCGCAGTGGTCATAAGCGCAGCAGTCGTAGAACACTGCGTCACGGTTTGCTGTGTCTGGGAAACCATCAGCGTAGTGACAGGTGGTTGGGTTTGGTGTTGCAGTGATGGGTGGGGTTTTCCGGTAGACCTGCATGGTACTCTGTGATGGTACTGTTGGCTGCCAGGCATTGGTAAACTGATAACTGTCCTCAGCCAGACTGGGCTGGATGTTGGAGAAGGTGCAGCTCTCTAAGCCAGATGTCTCAACCTTTTCTGTTTTCATAACTACTTGAGATTTTACCCCTACCTCGCAGTCTGCAAGTCTGCCACTTTGAGGGTGCTGGTCGTTTATCTGTACTGCATACAGGTTTTGGTTTGGCATGGGCAAGGAATGATTTGAATCAAACATCCCGCTGTCAGACTCGAAAGGTTTGAAGTTTTGGTTGTCAAGGTCTGTGATTGAAAAGCTGTAGGTCTCAATGTTTGAGCTGTCGTGGGCGTGAGAATCAGCCGAGTACACACCCGCATCCTCACAGGACTGGTGGTACTCGTCCAGTGATGAAAAGATTGTGCTGAACTCAATGTTTTCATAGTGGTCATTTCCAAAAACCTCATCCAAGGCTGACAGTGTTTGCTGAGCTTTCAAACCACTTGATGAGATATCACCAGATACAGGTTGAGTGTCATAATCAGGGCCGCAGTCAAAATTTTGTTCTTCTTTTATCTGTAGAAGTTTTTGCGAAAGGAAATCACCTTTCTTATCAAGTGAGGTCACCGACAGGGGGGAGACGAAAACATTGTTGTTGCTGTCCATGTCAGTGAAATTGTCCAGCCTGGCTTTGTCCTCTGGTTCTGACTTGCTCATGGCTTTGCTGTCTTCAACATAGTTGTCCAGGTCTATGATGTGTAGGGCTATTTTCTCACTGCTGTCATTGGTGTCTTCTGGTAGATTTTTTGGATTGAATGCAGCAGAAAAAGATTGCTTAATTGTATTATCATTTTTTGAAGATTTTAACACTTCAGTTTTCATCCTTTTAGCCTGGGATTCTGAAAATTGTAACATTTATTATACCACTGACAGATGGACATGAAAAATTCATAGTATCAGATTGAATGCAAATTCAAATTATTTTTTCATTCTTAAATATGATCATTTCATACAATAGCTCCTTTAAAATAAAGTAATTATTTTTATTGATAACCAATGCCTTCATTAATATCTTTAGGGCCTAAAGAATTAAACTTTTTTTTATCTAGCTGTATTTAAAATCTAGACTAGTTTGTTTTTTGTACATAAAACGTTATCGAGGTGAAAGATAGAAACCTTTAACTTAATCTACATTTTGGATATTCTGTATTTTATGCAAGTACATTGGTAGATTTTTCTCTGCCTATCTAACTGTTAAGATTGGGGTCAGGGTAATGATGCTGGCACAAACAGGAAGCATGAAGCTTAAATAAAAGAACCTTTTACTTTATTTATGCTATTTTATTGAAGCTATTCTATTTATAAATATAGTTCAACATGTTATGTATTTATAAAAAAAGGCTTATAGGCCATGCCTATTCATTAATACAGTATTAAAAAAACAACTTTGTTGAATGTTTGCAAACATTTTAATTAGATTCTATATCTAAATCTGCTTGGTTTTTATTTTTCTCTTTTTAAGCCTTTTTTATGGGTGAAAAAAAAAAGAATAATTAATCTTTTTTTTTTTTTGTAACTAAACCTAACAAATTTAGATTTAAGATTTACAACTTAATAAATCATTAATACAGCTGATAATCATTTGAAGGAAACATAATACTAATGTAGATCTAGAATCTAGATTTTTATTAATTTTTTCCTTGTGTGATTGTGTGTAGTCAAGTGTAGTGTATTGAGTATTGTAAACAAAAATAAAATACCTTTATTTTCCATGGCTAAAGAAAATACTTTAGTAATTTTTAAATCCGATGACTCACGGCTCTCAGCTGTGGCCGTCTCAGAGTTGTGGCACTGGACATTGTCGTCTGGATGATGCTGGGTCTGGCTGGTGGGGCTGTTGTCTTCGCCAGAGTCTGAGAAGACGTCCAAGTCGATGGTGATGATGTCCTCGTTCTCTTTGAAATTCGTTTTAGACTTGGTGTCGACGTTGGTCTTCTGCTGTTCGATGTTTTTGATGGCTTCATGTTCGGTGTCTGCCATTGGCGTGAACTTACTAAAACAGAAGCTGTTAGGTTTCTTTTTGAACACGGACTGTCCACTGGAGCTACGTTTTTTGACAGTGCAGTTATTTCCATGTGTTTTGCCAACCTAGAATTTTTTTTTTTATTCCAACTTTTTTCAAGTGACGGAAAAAAAATACATTTTTTTATTTTTTGTGTCCTTATATCTGATTGGATAAGCTTATTTTATCTTTTGTTTCATTGGCTTTTGTGACACAGATTTGACATTCATTTCAATTGGATGTTTTTATTTAGTACACATGCTCTGCGTTTTTTATAAAACTGGGACTAAAAACATTTCCCCCCTGTATTTTAACAGTGATTTCCCTTTGAGCTTGTTAGTTTACTCCGAAGTCTGCCGTAGATATTTACAAATAATAGATCTATATTCAGTTGGATGAAGTCAAGTTACAATAAAAATATATTAATAAAAACCCTCGACCAATGTCTCGGTTTGTGTGAGGTTTTTTCTTCTTTAAAAGCAAATCGCGATGTAGACCTAAGCCTTACTCGCTACCCGATAGCTTTGTAGCCCACTTAGCTGTATAATTAAATTAAGTCTTTATTTTATTTTAATCCCAAAACTTCAACAGTCAACAGTATTAAATTATTTTTAATAGCGTCTGCGTGTTAACCCAGAATATTCTAATTTTTTTTTCTCAAAATTGTCCTGGTTTAAATTTTCTTTTCTCCACAGGACATTGCAGTTTTATTTTAGGGTTGTTTTATTCGTTGGATAGGTTTACTATGGTTAAGGTAACGAAGCCAGCAAAACACCTTGATACGATCTTGCTGGTAATCTTTCAAGCATTTGAAAATATTCCTGGATGGTTTTAAATATAATTTTTAAAAATGTTAGCCCTGCATAGGCCTACTTTATAGTGAACTGAGGGTCTTTAATACATTAACTCCTCACATTCACATTGAAGGCCATCATCTCGTGCAAGTCGCCATGACCTTATTGTACTGACTGCTGCGTGGCTGACCCGCCTCGTTCTGCCCGTGTTTTAGTCCACTCTTACGTAACTTTCGTTTCTGCTGTACCCTCGCTTGGACGCCTCGGGGTGGTAAAATAGAAAAAAAACCCCCTTCGAGATTTTTAAAGTTCAAACTAGATTTACTAGGCTTATAAGTTATATTATGTTGGACGTTTTAAAGTAGTACAGCGTGACCTCGTTTGAGAAGGAGGGGGTGGGAGGACATATCGCACGGGGTCGCTAGACATCAAAGTTATGTCACTCATACCTCCTCTATATATCACACCTACATGGTGTCGTATGGGTTATGAAGCATCTTAATAAAAAGTTAAATCGAAAAAATAAAGAGGCATACACTAATTTTTTTTTCAAAATATTTTCGTTGATCTTTAGATTTTAGACTAGTTTTGTGATGTTTTTTTTTTCATATTATTTTTACTGTAAAAAAAAAAAAAAAAAAACACCAAAAAAACAACAATTTACTTAGATAAAAAAAAAGTTTTAAAACTGTACGGCGTGACCTCGTTATTTATCCCACCTACATGGTGTCTTATGCAGTGTTTCTTCCAGACTTTTTTCTCCGGGGGGAGACTTGAAATTTTTGGGAGGGGGGGGGGGGGCGGACACTGTTAAAAGTATATATTTTCTATATAAATTTCATTTCGTTCGGGGGGGGGGGGGGGGGGGGGCGGTAGAGATGCCTGGAAGAAACTTATGGGTTATGAAGCATCTTAATAAAAAGTTAAATTTAAAAAAAAAAAGGGAAATAACATTTTTTTTTTCAAAATCTTTTTGTTGATCTTTAGATTTTAGACTCATTTTGTCACAAAACTTTTGTGATGTTTTTGTCATATTAATAAGCTTAATGTAAAAAATAAAATAAATAAAAAACAACAACAATATACTTTGATAAAAAGTAAAAAAAAAAAACAACTTGTCGATTCGTCGCGGGGAGCTCAGGTGCTCCAGTTAGGTACTGCTGTTTGTAGTTTGCCTAGCCTGTGACCATAACAAAATGCTTACTACTCTGATAGCAGTTAGAGATTCCCCCCTCCCCCCCCCCCCCACCAGACCTGTACACACAATGACGTCACGAACTCGAGACTCTTCCCCTCCTAGTCTATACAAATGCCCGGTTGACGGTACCTTTGAGATGTCCTACCCTGCACCCCCCATCCGTTAGTTACTTTGGCTAAGTCGGGTATTTTTAAAAATTTGAAGATGCACAAGAAAAAAAAAACCACTTCGGTAGTTGTTTTTTTTTTCTTTCTTATCCTTTATGCCATAATCGACAAACTTCTAAAATAACCACTTTTTTGTTTTGTTTTCTCACCTTTTAGGGCATCATCGACCAGATACAGAAACACAAACTTCTATTTATAGAAACACAGGACGCGGCTGAGACCTCTCTGGCTTTGCTCAATTACCAAAAGGTATTTACCTTCTGATTATGTGGTCTATCCCGTCATTCTTACATGCGTTTACTTAACTTTATATCCCACCTTAGGGGTCGTCCATAAATGACGTCACACTCGTAGGGGGGGAGGGGTCCGTAATTTTTGTGACGGTGTGTGATGAGGGGGAGGGGGGGGGGGAGTTCAGATGGTACAACGTCACACTTTTGCATTATAAAAAAGCAATGTTAGAAAACTAATTTTAGACGTTATTTTGCATTTTATAAAACTGTTTTAATAAATTGTAATAGAAATTGATTAAAATACTCTATATCGACAGAGTTCAGACAAGATTTTGGAAAAATATCGATGTTTTAAGAAAAATTCAACTGCAATTTTGAGGGGGGAGGGACTGTAGGCGGAGGTGTGAAGTCATTCTAGGGGGGGGGGGTAAAAATCGTCAAAAAAAAAGCGTGACGTCATTTATGGATGACGCTTAGTTTCATCATTCTGTGGTCTATCCTGTCATAAGTTGAGAAGCGCTGGCATTCTTACAAGCTTTTATTTTAACTTTATATCTCGCGTTAGTTTCATCATTCTGTGTTCTACCCTGTCATAAATTGAGAAGCACTGGCATTCATACATGCTTTTATTTAGCCCCGTGCTTGTTTCATTATGAGTTGAAACATGCCAACGAAGCTTCACCCCACTTTTACCCATCCGTTTTTTTTTCCAAACTTGAACCATACCTCATATTTTTATTACAATGTAGGCCTAATGTGACACGAGTTTTGACATAAGCAGATTAATTAAAAACTTTAATGGAAGTACATATAGTAATTAGTATTTCACCCATACACACCACTTTGGTGAGTTCGTGTGCTGCACGCTTATAGGCAGGTTTCTCTTATATAAAAACGTTTAAAATAACAAGCTTGTATATAACAAGCTTATATATATATATATATATATATATATATATATATATATATATATATATATATATATATATATATATATATATATATATATACATACATACATACATACATACATACATACATATATATATATACCACGCTGTTATTTTAATGATGATTTATTACTATATGCATATAAAAATAAACCGGGAGTGATCTCCCGGGGCGTTCGAATCTCGGGACGTTCGTAACCCGGGGGACAATGAACTATGCTAAAGCAAACTTAACACCGTGGGCAGCTTGCTACTAGACAAGTGGCTGGGTGTTAATTTTTGTAATCCTCGATTAGCCGTACCGCATTACTGGAACAGCTGGCATTGCACGGTAATGTAAGCCAAGGCCAAGAAAGTAAACTGGGAAGTGAGTGAAGTGTAGGGTTAGGTAATTATATAGGGTTAGTGTTAAGGGACCAACGTCTAATGACTCGCATTCTTCTTCTTCGTTCTTAATTGTAATATTGTAAGGGGATTGACTGCAAAACGATTAAGTTTTATGTCAACATGTTATGCGCGATATGGCCTGTTTGACTCCCACTCCAGCCTGCTTTACTTCCTGGGTTTGCTTCCCTAGCCTTTGTGACACTTTGCCCACGTAAGAGCAACCTGCCAGGCAGTCGTTGCTTGATTTTAGGAGTTGTCTCTCCTAGATGGGTTGGCTGTCCCAAGCTATCGAGCCTTAACTGTCAGGGGGTGGGAGAGAGGGGGGGGGGGGGGGACTGATCTCATGACTTTTGAAGTTGGCAGTCTTACGGTTCCCTTACCTACCACGCTACCTCCTCTTCACCCCCCCCCCCATTTTCGATTGAACATTATACGGTGTCAAATAAAATTAAGCAGGTAGGCCTACTGATGCCATACACTACATTATATGTATGCAGAAAGTCTTTCCTGCTGTAGTTTCAAAAGATATTTAAATAAACAGCTAGGCTACTGGTTTAAAAATAGCTACAAGTTCCATGCTTTTAATGGCAATAAAGGTTCTATGCAATTAGTGTTCAAATAAACAAACGAATCCACTCCATATTTAAAATAAATTTAAAATTCTTTAACATTAATTACATTATAGTTTATGTTAGTTACTTACCATTAACACATCATATGGAAACAACGGGAGACAACCTACAACTGCGTTTGCTAAAATTGTTAAAAATATAGGTAAATTCAAAATTAATAAAATAATAAAATGTTTATCATTAGAATAAGCGAAAATATTAGCTCTGTTGGTACATAGTATCTAGTATTATATTTTATAGATTTTAGAATTAAAATTTGACTGTAGTTTAAGATAAAAGCCATTAGCTCTCTTAATTTTTGTTTATGTAGAGGTATGAAACTGTCGCTTGACATATTATTGGTGTTGTATGAGCGATGAGATGAACTATTTAAATTTCGTTCTTAGAAAAATAAACTGGAGTGATCTCCCCTAAACTTTCTCGAATATTCTTACATGAAACAACAGGAATGGCAACTCGGGATATAGACATGACTTTTAATCAATTTTAAATACTTAAACTTTTTAAAATAGAATAAAATCTCGTAGAAAAAAGAATTGCACATCAAGTGAACGTCATATTAAATATGCAGAGGATTAGATCTCTTACGTGTGAAATTTCATTTATCTATCTGAAATAGTACTCAAGTTATAGGCCTTTGAAAAATTCAAAGTGAAAAAGTACCACTTCCGGTTATCGGAAATCGCTCAAAAGTTGATACGGATCTACGATTTTGATAAAATACTTATATATGAAATTTCATCGACCTAGCTGTAGCGGTACTCAAGTTATCGTGTTTACACACACACACACACACACACACACACAGACAGACACACAGACATACGGACAAGATTGCAAAGTTATGTTTTTCCGTATCAGTGAGGTGTAAAACGTCGAGATTTTTTTTTGCTCGATTACAAGACTTTCTCTATAATTCGTATATACGAGAAAGTAAAAAACGTTTGTAAGTTTATCATTTAGCATTTGTAAACATTAAAAAAAATCTATTTGCCTGACACAATAAAATTTTAGCAGCTGCACACTATTGTTAAGATGGTCTTTGTTGTTGTAGGCTTGTGAAAACGGCCGTGGCGCCGTCCTGCTTTCAGTGGCCAGGGGCAAGGTGTCTGAAGGCATTGACTTCGGTAAGTACATTTTTAAAAACCATTTTACAACATTGGTGGTCAATTACTTTGCTTATTATAGAAGAAAAGTCTGTGTTGTCGAATATAGACGCTGGTAGGCCTACTTAATCTCTTCTACAACGGAATTATAACCTACAGACTTCAGACTATATTGCGCAATGTTGTAGTTTTGCAACAATACTTCAGGTTTTGCTTAATGATCATCCAGTTGTATATTTTTGTTCACTTTTTGACCTCTTTCTATTCCAATCCATGTTTTATTTATCTTTTTTGTTTTCTGCATGAACAGACCATCACTATGGGCGAGCCGTCATTATGTTTGGTGTCCCATACGTTTACACGCAGAGCAGAATTTTGAAGGTAAATATTCATGTCACGTGATTTTAAAAAATAAAACATGGAAGGAGACATGCCTGATCTAAAAGCAGACAATTAGTGGGAGGAGGAGGGTGGGATGGAGGAGGAGGGTGGGATGGAGGAGGAGGGTGGGATGGAGGACGAGGGTGGGATGGAGGAGGAGGGTGGGATGGAGGAGGAGGGTGGGGGGGGGAGGAGGGTGGGGTGGAGGAGGAGGGTGGGGTGGAGGAGGAGGGTGGGGTGGAGGAGGAGGGTGGGGGGGGGGAGGAGGGTGGGATGGAGGAGGAGGGTGGGGGGAGGAGGAGGGTGGGGGGAGGAGGGTGGGGTGGAGGAGGAGGGTGGGGTGGAGGAGGAGGGTGGGGTGGAGGATCGGGGGAGGGTGGGGTGAAGGAGGAGGGTCGGGGGAGGGTGCGGTGGAGGAGGAGGGCGTTAAAATATTGACCGCACCAATCTAGTTACCTGTTTCGGTGACATTCTCTGTGCAGGTAGTGGCAGTTACCTGTGGTTTTACTAGCAGTCAGTTGTCAAAGGACTTGACAGAGACAATGTATTTTAAATGGCCAATTCACTATTACTATAGCGCTACTAGTTACTTTGTACAAGAATGTAGCCCAATTAACAGAAGTTAACTATATGTATAAGCAATGGGATTTGAAAGTTAGTCATGTTTGGGCTTTGGGGCTCTAATCTTGGCTATTGGGTTCTAGAGTGTGCTGGTCCTAGTCTGAGCTCTAGCTCTAGTCTGGGCTATGGGGTTCTAGTCTGGGCTTTAGGGTTCTAGTCTGGGCTATGGGGTTCTAGTCTGGGCTTTAGGGTTCTAGTCTGGGCTATGGGGTTCTAGTCTGGGCTTTAGGGTTCTAGTCTGGGCTATGGGGTTCTAGTCTGGGCTATGGGGTTCTAGTTTAGGCTATAGGGTTCTAGTCTGGGCTTTAGGGTTCTAGTCTGGGCTATGGGGTTCTAGTCTGGGCTTTAGGGTTCTAGTCTGGGCTATGGGGTTCTAGTCTGGGCTTTAGGGTTCTAGTCTGGGCTATGGGGTTCTAGTCTGGGCTATGGGGTTCTAGTCTGGGCTATGGGGTTCTAGTCTGGGCTTTAGGGTTCTAGTCTGGGCTATGGGGTTCTAGTCTGGGCTTTAGGGTTCTAGTCTGGGCTATGGGGTTCTAGTCTGGGCTTTAGGGTTCTAGTCTGGGCTATGGGGTTCTAGTCTGGGCTATGGGGTTCTAGTCTGGGCTATGGGGTTCTAGTCTGGGCTTTAGGGTTCTAGTCTGGGCTATGGGGTTCTAGTCTGGGCTATGGGGTTCTAGTCTGGGCTATGGGGTTCTAGTCTGGGCTGTGGGGTTCTAGTTTAGGCTATAGGGTTCTAGTTTAGGCTATAGGGTTCTAGTTTAGGCTATAGGGTTCTAGTCTGGGCTGTGGGGTTCTAGTCTGTGCTATGGGGTTCTAGTTTAGGCTATAGGTTTCTAGTCTGTAAATAAGGGTTCTAGTCTGAGTTATGTGGTTCTAGTCTGGGCTGTGGGGTTCTAGTCTGTGCTATGGGGTTCTAGTATGTGCTATGGGGTTCTAGTCTGGGCTGTGGGGTTCTAGTCTGTGCTATGGGGTTCTAGTCCGGGCTATGGGGTTCTAGTCCGGGCTATGGGGTTCTAGTCTGGGCTATGGGGTTCTAGTCTGGGCTATGGGGTTCTAGTCTGGGCTATGGGGTTCTAGTCTGGGCTATGGGGTTCTAGTCTGGGCTATGGGGTTCTAGTCTGGGCTATGGGGTTCTAGTCTGGGCTATGGGGTTCTAGTCTGTACTTAAGGGTTCTAGTCCGGGCTATGGGGTTCTAGTCTGGGCTGTGGGGTTCTAGTTTAGGCTATAGGGTTCTAGTCTGTACTTAAGGGTTCTAGTCTGGGCTATGGGGTTCTAGTCTGGGCTATGGGGTTCTAGTCTGGGCTGTGGGGTTCTAGTCTGGGCTATGGGGTTCTAGTCTGGGCTATGGGGTTCTAGTCTGGGCTGTGGGGTTCTAGTTTAGGTTATAGGGTTCTAGTTTAGGCTATAGGGTTCTAGTTTAGGCTATAGGGTTCTAGTCTGGGCTATGGGGTTCTAGTCTGGGCTATGGGGTTCTAGTCTGAGTTATGGGGTTCTAGTCTGGGCTATGGGGTTCTAGTCTGGGCTGTGGGGTTCTAGTCTGTGCTATGGGGTTCTAGTCTGGGCTATGGGGTTCTAGTCTGGGCTATGGGGTTCTAGTCTGGGCTGTGGGGTTCTAGTCTGTGCTATGGGGTTCTAGTCTGGGCTGTGGGGTTCTAGTTTAGGCTATAGGGTTCTAGTTTAGGCTATAGGGTTCTAGTTTAGGCTATAGGGTTCTAGTCTGGGCTATGGGGTTCTAGTCTGGGCTATGGGGTTCTAGTCTGGGCTATGGGGTTCTAGTCTGGGCTATGGGGTTCTAGTCTGGGCTGTGGGGTTCTAGTCTGTGCTATGGGGTTCTAGTCTGGGCTATGGGGTTCTAGTCTGGGCTGTGGGGTTCTAGTCTGAGCTATGGGGTTCTAGTCTGAGCTATGGGGTTCTAGTCTGGGCTATGGGGTTCTAGTCTGTGCTATGGGGTTCTAGTCTGGGCTATGGGGTTCTAGTCTGTGCTATGGGGTTCTAGTCTGGGCTATGGGGTTCTAGTCTGGGCTGTGGGGTTCTAGTCTGGGCTGTGGGGTTCTAGTCTGTGCTATGGGGTTCTAGTCTGGGCTATGGGGTTCTAGTCTGGGCTATGGGGTTCTAGTCTGGGCTGTGGGGTTCTAGTCTGTGCTATGGGGTTCTAGTCTGGGCTATGGGGTTCTAGTCTGGGCTATGGGGTTCTAGTCTGAGCTATAGGTTGTATTCACCAAAAAAAAAACAACAACAGGAGAATGTGAATGTTTAAAGTCACCTGGACAGTCAGACAGAAGACTCTGTAAAGTTTTAGTCCATAAACTTTGTGTTTCAGGCCAGGCTGGAATATCTGAGGGACCAGTACCAGATCAGAGAAAATGATTTCCTCACGTTTGATGCCATGCGGCATGCGGCTCAGTGTGTGGGGCGAGCCCTGCGAGGCAAGACAGACTACGGCATTATGATCTTTGCTGATAAGGTGAGATTAGGGTGTTATGATCTTTGCTGATAAGGTGAGATTAGGGTGTTATGATCTTTGCTGATAAGGTGAGACTACAGCATTATGATCTTTGCTGATAAGGTGAGACTACAGCATTATGATCTTAGCTGATAAAGTGAGATTAGGGCATTATGATCTTTGATGATAGAGTTGCTAAAGAATATAAATTTGCTGTAATGGTAAAATATTACAAAAAAAAGTATGTAGAGTTCATAGTAGCTAACATGAATTTTGATTACAGAATCTAATGCATAGAGCGTCATAAATATCTGCAGGTATTTACATATACTGAGACATATTTAGGATTTACTGGAAATCAGCCCCCATCATTTTAGTTTGAAGTATGGTCATGCAAGGCACATAACTCTACTTAATTTGTCCGTTAACATTTTTCCTGTCCCTGTCGCAGAGGTTCTCAAGGGCAGATAAGCGTGGTAAAATTCCCCGCTGGATACAGGAGCACCTGACAGACAACCTGTGCAACCTGTCCACAGACGAGGCTATCCAGGTGTCCAAGCGTTTCCTCAGGCAGATGGCCCAGCCCTTCAGCAGGGTCAGTCACAGGCAGCTTTTAGCATCTCATCTTTTCATTGAGCTTCACAGTTTAAAAAATAAACCGGGAGTGATCTCCCCTAATCTTTCTCGAATATTCTTATATAACTCGGAATTAGTACTTCCGTTCAACGGAAATTATTCAAAATTTGACAGAAGGTAGAGAATTAGATCTTTTACTTACATGTGAAATTTCATTTATCTATCTGAAATAGTACTCAAGTTATAGGCTTTTGAAAAATTCAAAGTAGAAAAAGTACCACTTCTGATTATCGGAAATCGCTCAAAAGTTGATCAGGATCTACGATTTTGATAAAATACTTATATATGAAATTTCATCAACCTAGCTGTAACGGTACTCAAGTTATTGTGTTTACACACAGACAGACAGACAAGATTGCAAAATTATGTTTTTCCGTATCAGTGAGGTGTAAAACGTCGAGATTTCTAAAAATCTCGGTTTTTTTTTTGCACGATTACAATACTTTCTCTATACTTCGTATATACGAGAAAGTAATAATTCAAAATTTAAAAAAAATTAGCTTTACAGTTGTTTTTGTTTTAAATCTGAAAACTAAAACTGTTGAAAAATAATCATCACAGTTTACAAAAAAAATTAAATCTTAAAACTTTTGAAAAATTAGCTTCACAGTTAAAAGAAAAATCTTAAACTTTTGAAGTATCAATTTTACAGTTTTTAAAAAAGATCTTTTAGTGTTGAAAAATTAACTTCCTTGTTTATAAAAAAAAATGTCACCTTTTAAAAATATTAGCTGTGCATTTTTTGTGGATCAACTTTATTTCAATATGACCTTCTGTCTCCAATGACCTATTGTTACTATTTGACCCCCCTCGTGTGTCCACTGACCTAGTGCCCCTGTGTCCACTGACCTAGCATTACTATTGTGACCCAGTGTGTCCACTGATTTAATGCCCCTGTGTTCACTGACCTACTGTTACTATCATGACCCCCCTGTGCCCAATGATTTAATGCCCCCTGTGTCCACTGATTTAATGCCCCCTGTGCCCAATGATTTAATGCCCCCTGTGTCCACTCCTCCACAGAAAGACCAGCTGGGCCTCTCCCTGCTGACCCTAGAACAACTCCAGTCTGAGGAGACCCAGAAGAAAATAGAATGCAAGATGCAACACGTCTGACTGCATTTATTTATTTATTTACTTTCATGTTACACTTGTTGACCTTTTTTGTACCTTGTAAACAACAGGCTTGTATAGAAAAATATTAAAGTTCCAATTTTTTGTATTTACATTGAAGAGTTCTGAAATTTTCTATTTGGTTTATTAACATTGGAGAGTTCAAGTCTTCTGTTTAAAAAAAAATGTAAAATGATGTTATGAAATATGTTGTCTTCTGACTTAAGTCATAAAACATTTTGAAGTGTGTTGTCACTAAGTCATATGTCACACACTACAGAATATATGATGGGGTAAAACAAAAACTATTAACAAATGTAATAGAAACAAACTAAAAATGATTAATGTTCTTTTTAATGCATAATCATCCTTTCCTTTTCGTGCCTAAGACATACGGCAGATGAAGTAGAGACCATCTGTTCCAGAGACCTCAGCATATGAAGGGATAGTGTGGTCATCACTATGCCCAGTGGTCTTTGCTTTCCCCAATGTGAGCTAGATACCCATCAGAGCTGGGTGGACTCAGGACTTTTCTGCTGACTTGTACCCGTATTCGATTGAGGTTTTCGTGTTAGCAGTCTAATGCAGTTTTAATGCATACTTTTAGTATACTAAAAAAGTTTGATCTAAGAAGTGAGTGAAGAAGTAAGCCTAGCTCTTTCGTTTTTATTTCTTTTTAAAATTACGTTTTTAAATTGCCAGATTGAACAGCTGATGCCCCATTTTATTTTCTAAAACTAAATTTTATACTAGCAGAGGCGTAGCGAGGGGGTGCGGGGGGGGGGTGCGGACCGCACCAGGTGACACCATTTAGGGGGGTGACACCAAGGCAAAAAATAGCAAAATATATAGAGAAAAATGATAATTCCACTTAAGTGATTAATTCGAGTGTTAAATAGTGTTTTAAGAGGTTCAAATCGAAAGTTTGAGGGGTGGGGGGGGGGGGGGGGAGGTGGGTGCAAATCGAAAATTGAAAGTTTGTCCCCGGGAAGGATCGCTACGCAACTGGGGGGGGGGGGGTGACACCATTAAGTGCCGCACCGGGTGACACCCAACCTTGCTACGCCACTGTATGCTAGATCAATCTTTTTTAATTTCAACTGAACAATTGGGTCCTTACTTCAAGGATGGTCGTGGATTAGGTTTTAGTTAATTAACTTTGCTTACCTACTTATTTGCCTATGGGGTATTTTAATTTTTTTTCATAGCCTCGCGGCAATCGCGTAACGCCTTTGATACATATCTTTACATCTTCCTATGTCTTTCCCTGTTGATTTACTTAGTTAATTAAATCACGTGGTGATGTTGATTACTAAGCCAATCAGCAAAACAAAATTCATCAAAGAATAGGAAAGGGGGAGAAAAAAAGATTAGCAGATGTTGAATAATTTACATAAACACCTTAGGCGATTTGTTTAAATCACAGGTGTAAAAAATAAGAATTTTACAACACAGCTCAGTACAACGGCCTACCTGTTCAATTTAACAAAATCTGACAAAATGACAGCTACCCTACTTCCCCTCTTGTTATATAATATGTGTATGATCCCTAACCATTGCCAGTGTTCTAAATTAGAGCTTATTTAAATGGTTACCCTAACAACAGCTGTTTCTTCCAGGCATCTCTTCGGGATTTATATAGGAAATATATACTTTTATCGGTGTCCGCCCCCCCCCCTCCGAAAACATCAAGCCCCCCCCCCCACCCGGATAGAAAAGTCTGGAAGAAACACTGACCAACAGCTGTACACAACAAGTGCGTAAGCGCAGTAACCCAGCCCTTTTTTCTAGGCACAATAAAGACGACATCATGCTATTTTAACCAATTTTACCCCCCCCCCCCTTACTAAAGGTCGTCGTATGGCATCATACACAAATCCAGACCTCCTTTCACAAAACGCCACTGCCTCCACAAAAAATGTCCCACGTGACATAACGAAAGACCCCCCCCCTCCCTTCTACTAATTTCCCCAGGTCACGTCACATTAAAAAAAAACCCACCTTGACTGAAGTTGATTGTCTCACCTGTCCATAACCAGACGACCAGTGAACGAACGTGTGTGGATGATTGGTGCAGGGTTTAACGTTAGCTTAGTCAAGTGTGTGAAAAAAATGTGATTTTTTTTTTGGTTACACATAGCTACACCGCATTGCCGTTCATTTATTGGCGGGAAAACACATCTGCTAAAAATTAGTCAGTATTGCTATGCATAATTTTGTTTGTATTGTAAAAAAAAAACCCCATCAAATAATATACTAACTTATTTATATTATAATATTAATAACGAATAATTTTACATCGGTTGGTCCATAAATGATGCCACACCCCAGTGGCGTTTTTTACCCGGGGTCAAACTTTCGATTTGCACCCCCCACTCAAACTTTTGATTTGCACCCCCCTCAAACTTTTGATTTGCACCCCCCCTCAAACTTTTGATTTGCACCCCCCTCAAACTTTCGATTTGCACCCCCCTCATACTTTTTATATATATACCGAGGGGTCTATGGGGTCTATGCCTACGCCACTGCCACACCCTGAGAGGGCACGGTGTACTTTGGTTGGTATGAGTGGGGGGGGGGGGGGGGGGGGGGGAAGGAAATTTGTAGGTAACCTGTAACTTGGTGACCGAGCGGTGGAGCGCTAGACTGCTAACGCGGGCTCGAGTCTGCAGTAGGACATCCCCGAGTCGTCCCCCCCCCCCTCCAAATTACTACAGTTACCGATATTAAATTATATCTTTAAGAAATAATTATAAAAAAATTTTAATACAAAAATCGGGTTACAATTTTTCAGAATTATTTTAACTATTTCAATGCCTTGGGGGACACCGGGGTTTGTTTAGAAAAGTTGTTTACACTATGACGAGTTCATAGGGTCAAGGCCATGTCATAGAGTACTTGTCGCTTGATTCAAACACCCCCCCCCCCCCGTCCATTAGGCTTAATGCCTCTGTCGTACCATTTTGATTTTCTTGTAATCTATCGAAGCCTATTGACTATAAATTAAATTTTTGTTTAATGTTTTAGTCAAATTTTATATAAGAAAAAAAATTAACTCTTTCCGGTTCGCAGCGAAGGCTCTACCAAACGTGTAAACAAAAAAAAAAAACTGACCATCGGCAGACGAAACCAGCCACCCGAAATTAACTGAGTTAAAAGCAGCTGAGGACAAAAAAAAATTCTCTGAAACCCGCGGACAACACATTTCCCCCCTCACGGCACGCCTCGCGAGACGGCGCGAGCCAGCTGACGTTGAGTCGAACATCCCTAACACGCAGCCGAGAACCAGGACGAGGGCGAAATTTTTGAATGAGTTGTTTTGGAAGGGAGGCTACTGCTGTTGTAAAAAAGTAATAGTAAAAAGTCCGGCGCGAACAGAAACGTCGGATGTGTGATTTACTTTGCTGTGTTGGATTTTCTTATTTCATCTCGGGTTTCTTTACTTTCCAAAACTTAGGTGAGTTCGTTTTGAAATCTCATTTCTACAAGATTTAGATCTAGAATCTAGATCTAGATATTCTATAAACTATATTATATTAATAATTTATTGCCAGGAGATGTAATAAAAAAAAACAACGCCGAATATCTCAATGTTAAACTGTGTGTGTTAACTGTTAACTCAATGAACTGTTAACTAGATTCTATAACTATAGATAATAGTATGACTGTTATGATGGAAAACCCTGTTTATTTATTTTAAGATTTTAGACAAAATTTAGATATAGATCTTTAGGTCTAGATAAATCTAGTCTAGATAGATCTAAATGTAGGGTAATCTATCGTTTTGGGTACGTAAAATCGCCCGCGACTAGTAATGTGAAAAACAGGTGACTCCTTAAATTTTAATAATTATTTCACATTTTGAGGAGGATTTATGTTTTTTAAAATACAAAAATGTTTCCTTGTTTCATTTATGTACCCGTTTTTAAACAATTGCATTAAAACTTTTCCGTAATAAATGAAGACTAACGATGTTTCCAACAGATGCAACCATGCTCATTTACTATAGCAGCCATCTTGTTTAAGTTTTATTTTTATATGCTTATAGCGCAGATTCAGGGGGAAGCCACTCTATTTTACAAATGGCTGCTGTTTATATAGCAAATCTTGCTCTCAGACACTGCTGTTTAAAGTTAATTTCTGGCCTATATCGATATATTTAGCCATTGATTTAGGTTTATTATTCATTTATCTATAATATTTGACACAAATATATGACAATCAACTTCTATTAAAGCCTTGACAATGAGGTAACGTTTTCGTACATTAATAGCCGCGGGCGATTTTACGTACCCAAAACGATAGATTACCAAATGTAGCTACTACACTAGCTAGAACTGTTAAAGTCTAGATTCTAGATTTAGTTAGTTTTGTGGTCCTAAATCTCTATTATTATTGTCAATGGAACAGCAGGTGGGGGACTCCCCACTCCCCCCCCCCCATTCGGATCGGTATGTGATTTCTGCCCTGTAAATGCTGGTGTACTGAATAAAATAAATATGATGGATAGTGTAGGTAAACATCTTAGTATATCATCTTCTTCTTATGACGCAGCCACTTAATAACTTTACTAAAGATGAAGGGCGTGTGGGACGTTAGCATAATTTACGAGTCATTGACTTAATTATTATATAATTAACATACACACAAGGTTAAAGACTGTAACCAGTACACAAAGTACTAGACTCTAGTCAGTTCATGTCGATCAGTGTAGACTGGGTGTATAGGGTATACCATACCCCCCCCCCTTGGTTGGTTTTTCATTCAATGATATAGGCCTAGGGCTTTTTTCAAGTTGTTGGCCATTTCAAATAAGACTCCATTATACAGGTAATTAACTCTCACTAATTAATAACTCAAGGGAAGACCGGTGATCACAACTGGACAGAACATAACCCTGGCTGTGGGCTATTGGTCAGGGCTATCACTTGAGGAACTTTACTTTTTCTTCGGGGGGGACGGACACTGTTAAAAGTATAAATTTTCTATATAAATTATATAAATTTCATTTCGTTCGGGGGGGGGGGGGTGGGGGGGGCGCGAAGAGATGCCTGGAAGAAACTCTGAAGATTACCCCCGTCAAAAGGTTACCC